GACAAACTGATTAATGTTTTAAAAAATTTGGGTTTATGTAGATTGCGTGTATTGGTGTTATTATTGTGGAAGTGGTGGGGGAAATTTCGTCATTTTGTCATTCATCGTACTAACGCAAACATCGTTGTATGCAGACACATATACATACTTGGTCGTCCGTCGGGACTCATACATATATAAACATATGTAGACAGTTTTGGCTATGACACATGTATGTATACGGGTGGTGTTATGTCTATACATACGCATTTGTATGTTGAAATGTTGAAATTTAAACATTGGAAGTGTGGCGGAACCCGACGGACGACCAAAGTATGTATATGTGTCTGCATACAACGATGTTTTGCGTTAGTACGATGAATGACAAAACGCAAAATTCCCCCACCACTTCCACAATAATAACACCAATACACGCAATCTACATAAACCCAAATTTTTAAAACATTAATCAGTTTGTCTGATTTATCGCTAAAGCATGAAACCCAGGGTCCTAAACTCACATCTATCAACAAATATATATATATATATATATATATATAAAAATATAAAAGTGAACATTGAAGTCGACATTCAGAGGTGACAGGCTGTTTCATGCTAAACGCAATCATTAGGCCCTGACGATTAAATGCCCCCCCCCACACACACACACCACTAATTCTATTGAATTAGATTTTCATGTGCTTTTTCTCTTCTGTTACTTATTGTAATATTATAATTTGATATCCTAACCAAATGATATTAACTTTGTTGCACACTAAGTGGTCTTTAGTCAGTGTCATGTTTAGGCTTGGTGAGACCTTAATCTATATAAGCTCCTTGTTAAAAGAAAATTATGTGAAATTGTCTTGTATCAAGAAATTTTTCAAACCACAAGTAAATTTGAGATGTAGTCTTTTCATCTTATACCTAGATTTGGTATTGTCTCTTATTGTAATGACAATGCCAGAACTTCTGAGAGCAACTGCCAACAGATCATCCTGGAAGAGATTGTTTCTTCTGTCTTTAGGTCCCCTTGATGATTGAAGCAGTCAAGGAACTGATGATGATAATTATAACACTGGCAGTGTTGATTAAAATTCCCAAATATCTATTTTTATCTGCATTATCTGTTGGCGGGAAGAGTTTATTGAATAGTAATTTAATTTGAAGAAATACATCCTTTTTTCCCTTTGAAATTAATTTAAAAATATATAAAAAGGCAGTTTTAATAGATTAAAATTATATTCACAATTACATTTTGTTAATATTGGCCAACCTAAATGGGTGTATCAGATTGAAATAATTTGAATTTGTCAATCCCTTTCTATAAATGTGTTTTTTTTTTCTTTTTAATAAAAGAAATAAGAACTTGAGAATGTTTACCCATTTAGAAACCAATTAACTTTCCTCATGGCATGGTGTTTTTTTTTTTCTCTGAAAGTGTCCAACAAAGTAAGCCATCACTTGCTGTTATTTTCAATTTGGATCTCCTTTAAGAAAGCAAAAAAAATCTTTCCCTAGCCTTTCTTGTTCAAGATGTTTGCATTTGATTTGTTGTTATAGATTCTGGCCTAAAGTGGAAAATAAGCTAATAATAATAATAATTGCATGTATAGAATTTTTTTGTTTTTTTCCAGTAGAAAAAGAAAATTCAATTTTTTCCTTTACAAAGTCTTGTTCCCAAGATAAATGACGAGCCAACATTAATTTTTATGCCCCTTTTGCAAAAGTGAGGAATTTAAGTTTTTTTTTTTTTTTTTGTGAAGGCAAAGTGAAAATATTAAAATCATTTTTATTTATTGTTTCCTTCCTTTTAACTCGGGATGAATGAAGATAGTGATGGCATCTACACTGAATTCGTCACAAAAAAAATCAGGCAGAATTAGTTTGGTTTGTTTGTTTAATGGCATATGGGTCATTTAATGCTGAAATTTAATTTTTGGGGAAGTTTTGGTAAAACTTTTTTTTATTAAAATCTATTGCTGGAAATTTTTTTTTTTTACTATTGTTTTTATAGAAAGATTCGATAAATTTCAACCAAAAGCAGCACTGGTTGCTCGGTCAATAAATGCTGAATGTTTCCTTATAAGGAAACTTACTATTACCATTAGAGATGAGAACAGATACTACACTTAGTATTTACTTGTCCTCCCATGGTAATGGGATATAACCTTGACACACAGTTAAACAAAATTTAAGCAAACCAAAGCTTCATCAGGCCCATTTAGACTTGTTACAAAATCACAAAAATCTATACCAAATAAACGAAATCCACATCACTTGAAGACTTCCAGCAACAACAACAGGTAGCACATGTAACTAGAAAAGAATGTTGACTTTCTATACGACCCTAAAGGAAGCTAGGAAGTTAGGAAGGAAGCTCTCATCTTATCTCATATTATGAGACAAAAACAATAATAGTGAACTTGAGAGGTCTAATTTTCCCAGGATTATGGCTCCATCACGTTGAAACACATCAGACCCTATAGACTGGTACTATAAAGTCACAAAGATCTATACCAAATAACAAAAAGCCACATCATTTGAAGACTTCCAGCAACAACAACGAACACAGATAGCACATGTAACTGGAAAGGAAAATACGAATCTAATCAAGATATCAACTTTCTATACTATCCTAAACAAAAGGTTAGGGAGGAAGCTGTCATCAGTATGAGACAAAAACAATAATAATTCATTTGAGAAGTCTAATCACCCCCCCCTAAAAAAAAAAACTGTTTTAAGAAATATTTAATAAGAACTGACAGCAATGCTGTTTGGTCAATGAATGCCAAATTTTTTGGAATTATTAATTGGAGAACCAAGTTCCAATTCCTGTTTAGTTTGTTATATTCACTTACACGCAAATACCCTTGGGAAAGGTTTGAATCTACCTCTTCTTCCCTCTGCTATGGGTTAATTAGTAAGACTTGTATCACTAAATCATTATCTGAAAATATTCTTACAATCTAAAAAATATTTTCTGGCTTTAAATAACCTACAAAGTGTTGATAAGATGTAGGAAAAAAAACGAAATTCAAGGAAATGATCCTTCATCAGTCCCATAAACTGCAACAAAGTTACAAAGAGCTATAACAAAAACCACGTCACTTGATCACTTTCAGCAACAACAAAAACAGGCCTGATGAATGTTTAGCTTGATTAGATTTTGTTGAACTGTGTGTCGACCATGATGGGTCAACCAGGTGGATACATATATTACATATACTTTTCTTTTTTCCTAATAGTTAGAGCTGCTCAACAATTTAGTTGCTAGAATATGTTTTAAATAGATTGATTAATCCCTCAATTTGAATCCAGTTAATGTAGTCCTTATATACTCATAAACAATTTTTAAAGAGATGTAAAAGTTCCCATCAATCAATGAATCAAAGACAGTTATCCATCATCAGGCTTTTATAGACTTGTGCTACAAAATCATAAAAGATCTATACCAAATAAAAAAAACCACATCACTTGAAGACTTCCAACAACACCACCACCACCTCCTTGAAAGGAAAATACGAATCTAAGCAAGATATTGGCTTTCTATATAACCCTAAACAAAAGGTTAGGACGGAAGCTCTAATTAGTACTAGAAATAATAGCGGTCTAATGCTCCCCCCCAGTTTTAAGATTTAATAAGAACTGACAGTAAAGCTGTTTGGTCAATGAATGCCAAATCTTTCCTGTATGCCGATGACTAATTTAACTATTACCATTACCTGTACAGGAAATGCAATTTTACTTATGCGATGTTCTAATAACTTTTGACACTTGATATTTATTTTCCAATATATTAGTTATATGTGAATCGGTCATCCTTCCATTTTTTGAGTTACAGATTTTGAAATGTCGACAAAAAAAAAACCTGTCTATGTCCCTGTCTTTATTTCCATATTCACGTTTTGGCCATGATATGCATTGGAATTTAGAACTGAACCTCTAATCTAGTTCACGGGGGTAGATTGTTCTAATTTCAGTTGCCATACAGTTTCAGTTAATTCCCTTTAGTAACTCGACTCTCCAAGTTTTTGTTCCCTCTACTGTGGCTAGGTATTGAACTCATCACTTTTTGGATTACTTTAACCAATGCTTTTATCCATTTGGCCATGTGTCCCCAGGGAGATATCCAGAAAAGGCATGGCACATGGAATTAGAACAATCTATCCTCGTAGATGGAATAAAAGGTTTAGTTTGAAATTCCAAAATATATCACCTGAAGAAGGCAAGAGTGTAGAATGGCCAAAACATTGTGAATATGGCAATATGATGAGGACAAGTTTGAATGATATAAATAGTGTAAATACAAAAAAAAATAAAACCTGTTTAGTTGAACTATTAATAAGCTTGACATTTATAAATTTTTTTTGAATGAAATATTTCAATGGGTGAGCAATGGTGAACAATGTAACTAACTGAATGGGTAACATTGGTATCAGTTGTGCTATGATTGATCCATAATGAAACAACTTTTTTTATAATTCTTTATTAGGGTTTTATTTTATTTCATTTTTTTTTCTTTTGCTTCATTTTTTAATATTTATTTTAATTTATATTTTGGAATCTTTTTCTGTGGTTTTTATTTTTCTGCAGGGGCAGTTTACGAGGTTGATGGTGGTGTTATGACTTCTGGTCTTAAAAATCTTTATTCTTTGCTAGGTTTTTATTTTGTCAGTGTCTGACAGAATTAACTCTTGTAATAAGAAATGTTTTTGTAAATGTTATATTTACTGAAGACATTTGTTTGCCAGGGGTGCAAACAGTGTCATTGATGTTTACTGGTCTGGGTAATTGAAAGTCTTATTAAAGAAAATGTACCTCTCAACAGGGATTGAACCTGCATTCTCCTTACCATAGGAAAACTGTATTTAAGCTAGTTGTGCATTTGACTGTTCAGAGACAAGAGACTCTACAGAAGAGCAAAACTCAATTACCCTTTTTAAGAAATGCACAGCTCTCATTGAAACCTTTCAAATTTATATATACTTTCTTTTCATACCCAAGGGAATTAATGAGGCTTATGGCCATATCACGTTGAAACACTGGTTCTAGTTTGATCACTGAAGTTTAACCATGTCAAGCCTGGTCAGTACTGAGATGGGTGACAGCTTGGGAATACTAGGTGCTGTAAGCTTGGATGTGTGGGTGGTGTAATGGTTAACAGCTCTGAATTGGAAATTGGAAAGCAGTTCCAATTCCAGTTGGGTTTGTTATATTCACTTATGCACAAATACCCTTGGGAAAGTTATGAATTCACCTCTTCTCCCAATTCTTATAATCTAAAAATATTTTTTGGCTTTAAATAAACTACAAAAGGTTGATAAGCAGTAAAAAATATGAAATCAATCCAAGGAATTTACAGATTTTTTAATCTGACATTATTTCTTATTACTTTAAATGTTATATATAGTGAATCCACATGTTTGAGTAGCCATCCTTGTTTCTTTTAAAATTGATGTCTACTGGCAATCGAAAGTCCTATTAAATAAAATGTATCTCAGCAGTGATCATCAGATATAAGCTTTAAAAGGTCCCAATGAGAGATGTGGAACTTAAGAAGGGTGTTTGTCTGAGCTGAGCAGTTAAAAGTTCACGTGGCTTTAAGGTGGTTTTCCTTTGTTAAGGATCCCTGTTAAGATGTGCATTTTCTTTAATAAGACTTTGAATTGCCCAGGCAGATAGATATATATTATACAGTTTAAAAAAAAAAATTCTACTCTTGCATGAGTATTCAATAAATATATAATGTTTATAGTAATAAAAAAAAAAATAGTGTTGGAGAAAAAAATCCAATAGTACTTTAGAAATAATTGTATAAAGTTCTCTAAGAGAACCATGACTTGGTTTAATGGAACTAGTATCCTCATCTTTGTTATTTTTGGCTAGTCAACTTTTCAGTTATTACATTTTTTTACCATGAAGTTCACTCTGTAAAAGGCTCAAGAGCCACTTGAGGTAGAGGGTTACAGAGTAAGTGGCACAGTTTATGGAGATATGGAAGGCAATGGTTAACCCTAGACATGAACAGGTTAAGATTGTAATAATTAGGGAAGCATCCTCTTGGGATTCAGTTCCACAAAGCAGGAAGAAGCTGCTTGAGTAGAACTTATATCTCACTAATGGAATGAATGTGGTTCACTACAATGTTTATGTCATGGTGAGTCTTAGTCATGAAGGTTAGAACTGGTGGAACTAAGGAATGTAGTTTGTTTGAACACTTTCCATGGAAATAGCAATAGAGCAGTGAGAGGTTTGCAATGTTTCATTTGTGGGAAAGGGGTTGTGGGGGGGTAGATGGTTATGGAGTAAGAGATACAGTTTGTGAGGATGTGTGGGAAATATAATGCTTAACCTATAGACATGAACAAGTTAAGATTGTAGTGATCAGGGAAGCATTCTCTTGGGAGTAGGTTCCACAAAACAGCAGTTCATGGGAAGAAGCTGTTTGAGTGGAGCTTACATCTCACTGATGGAATATGAAGAGAATCAGGGTGGTTTGCTACAATGTGTGCCACAGTGGGTTTTAGCTGTGAAGGTTAGGACTGGTAGAATGATGTATTCATTGGTTTGCTATCAACTCATTTTTAGTCAGCCAGTTGTCTTTCATGTGACCGTCCATTAGGATGGAAAATAGTTAAAAAAAAAAAAAAAAAAAAAAAAGAAGAAAAAAATAAGTTTACTATACATGCCATTTTATGTATATTTGTCAGATTTGGTATGCATACTGATTGGGTATAAGAGGATTTAATGTTAAAAAATGTTTCCCTCATGGGAAAAGGGGATTTTCTCTGTTATGTTACCTGAATTTATCTTTAAAGTAACAATTACCATATGTTACTGTTCAGTGTAAGACTATTTTCTTTACCATATTTTCTTGTGTTTAATATGACCCTGTATTTCTGAAGCTTTGTGTTTTATTATCTATTGTGCTGAGTGTGTTTACAATCTTGCTGTTTCAAATAAGAGGTTTTTTAAGCAGAGTAAAATTTCTGAAAACATGTACTTGGGTATAATACAACCCGTGTTTTTTACCTTCAGTTTTTGTTCAAAATTTCTCGTATTCTACATAAGAAAATAAGTTTTGAAAAAGCAATTTCACTGAACAATTTTATTTTACCAAAAATGTGTTTCCTGCTTTTCTTTGCATTCCCAGGAACAAATTAAAGCTATTCTGTTTTTCTTGAAGATAGGTATTTATCAGTGGCTTCTAAAAATGAACCGTAACAACTGTATATAATGATAATGGTGATGAATATTTTAAGATTTTAAAATAGACATTTATTAGTTCTATATTTCATTTGTTTCAAGAAGTTATGTAAATTATACTTTATTAATTTGTAGCTTGCAAACCAGCTTGCAGATTTGCGAGTGGTTTAGTGGATAGTGGATTGCAATGAGAAAATTGAGAGCAAGGTTTGAATTCTAGTCAAGTTTGCTGCATTCACTTATGAGGGAGGTATGAATCCATCTCTTGGTCTCTCCCTATCTATGGGTTAAGGTAGAATGAGCTCCTTATTCTTGGTTAGCAACCAATCAAGATGAAGAACTTCAAAACATTCATTTGGAAACCTACTGATACACTATGTGCACCTGTTCTCTTTACTTTGCAAACCGGCTAACAGATATGCAGGTGGTGTAGTGGATAGCAGCTTGGAATGAGACATTGGAAATAGTTCAAATTTGAGTTCATTGCATTCACTTACGCACAAATAGCCTTGGGAAAGGTATGAGTCCATCTCTTCTCTCTCCAGCTATGGGTTAAATAGTTGGACAGAAAAAAAAATGCATTGATATGGAAACCACAACAACAATGTCTATCGTAGCCTCATCCTCCTCCAGGAGTCTACATGAGTGAAAGTGAGTAAACTAATTCACTATTTGAGTCTAAGGAATTGTTTTATTTTCATTATAGCTGAACTCACTTTTACCCTATGTAGATGGGTACTTCAGCTATTAACATATAGTTTCAGTTGATAAAATTCTTTACTTAAGGTCCAAGCATCCAAATTATCTACTCTCATAATTCTTCTTTTATGTGATGTGTCTTTTTCTTCCTATCTCTTGTAGCTCTCAGTAAGGTTTGTCTTGTTGACACCCCTGCCATCTATTCACACAAGCTTGTAGGTAACCCACTGCCCTCCCCTGTTCCTTTTTACCTTTAATACAGGGTATGCCCCCAAAATTGACATAATTTAAAATGTTAACATCTGAGTAACTGAATTTCCAGGTAAATAAAATTAAATAGGCTTCATGTTGAACAATAAAAAATTTATTCATCAAAATTTGAAAAAGATGTTCAAAGGGACGTAAATTTTAGACGATTTCACACAGCTTCACAAATGTTCAATATGTGCATCACCCGTGACACAACCAACGTTGGTAGCACCTGCCAAACGTGCTGTAACATGTCTTGCGTAACATTCTCTAGTGCCTCAGTGACTCTCTGCTTAAATTCCTCTAGGCTTGTAGAAAGAGAGGGATATAGACCTGTCCTTTCACATAGACCCATAGAAAAAAATCACAAGGTGTCAAGTCAGGTGATGTGGTGGCCATTTCAACAGTACATTGTGATAATCACTGTCACACCAGTTCCTTCTTCCTAGTAGATTCTCATTGGGATAAGTCCACACAGTCAACTTAGTTTTTACACATTTTGTTAAAATTTGAGATCACTTGAGTGAGAATTAGTTATGTTATTAGACTACAAAATGATGTCAATTTTTTGGGGGACATTTTATTAGTGTCAAATTCTCCAAGCCTTCTTTCCTCATGTGTTCAAGAAATTTCAGCTACCTCTTTGTTTTTTTTTTTCCACTCACATAATTCAATAAAAGAATCTTGATCCCAGAAAATAACCGAGTTTAGTTTTCAGTAAATTAACTTTTTTGTGATCATTTTTTTTTTTTTTACTAATTTGTTTAATTAGAGTTGCAAAGAATCAAACGCGTTTTATTTTTGTTTTATTTCTTTAATTCACACTTTCATGTACTCAGATTTGCTCTTCTGCCACCCCCAACTTTTCAATTTTAACCTTTGCTTTTATTTTTATTTATTTATTTATATATTTTTTTTAGACTGATAGTGTGGTAGATGTTATTTTGTATATGATACATTTCTGTTTTCATCGCTTTTTCAGGAAGAAAACAATTTTTACACAGATTAAGATTTCTTAAAATTCAAAATAAATAAAAATAATTTTTTCTTTTTGAAAAGATCAATAGCTATTGGCAGTACCCATTGCCCAGCATTGGGGGTGCTCATCAACATTTCCTTCTGTGTGAAATGAGTCGTATATTGGATCTGAAGAGATGTCTGCAGTCACTTCATGGTAGGGTATTCTTTGAGCATGAAAGCCTTAGCTGCAAATTGTTTCAACTCGTCCATGGGTCGGTGCTCCATGGTGCACATAATTCAGCTGATACCATCCACTGCAGCAAATCAGGGCTTGACAGGCAGATTTGTGATGATAGCTTGCATTGGGCTGCCGACTTGTTCTCATATGTAGAATGTCACCTTGATCGGCTATCTGCCAGGCATTGGATCACGCTTTGTCTGGTTCTTTCCCTGAATCTCCCTACCAGGAGACAGAGCTCCAGACATCATTGCATTCAAGTTCCTCGTGATACACATGTTCCTCTTTTACCACACACTGTATACACATTATATCCGTTATGTGTTTTAGAAGCTCAAAAAAAAAAAAATAATGTACTATTATATAATTTATTTTACTTTCTAGTGTTTTTGTTTACCTAATGTTTTATATAGTTAAAAATCAATAGTAATGGCGAAGCTTACACCCTGGCCAGTTTGCCATTGTTTTCATGCAATCCTACAAAATGACTTGAGCATCCAAAAGATTGGATTTGAAACCATATTGGTAGCTCTCGTAGTTGATTTTCAGCTGGTCTAATTGCTTAGGGGAGAAATTTATTTAGAAGAGCTGGTAGAAGCATCCCCCCTGCTGCCAAAAAAAAAATTAACAATCTAAATTACAATTTAAATAACCTGCAAAGTGTTGCTAATCTGTAAAAAAAAAAAAAAAATCATTCAATCAATTTAAATTGTTATTTTCTCCTGGTTCTCCGAGGCTAATCTCTGCTTTTAGCAATTAGTTGAACTGGTGATCATTTTTTCTTTCTTCTGGAATTCAGTCATAATAAATAAAAATTGTGTTGACTGATAAGATAAAAAAAAATACTAAAGATGAAGCGATTAGTCAATAACAATGTGTTTGTTTTTTTTTGTTTTTTTTAATTTTAATTTTTTTTTTTTAATTTAAAAAATTATTATTTGTAATGTTTTATTCTTTTTTATAACCTTTTTATTTTTTTTTTTTTTTTTTTTTTTCTAACTTTTTCTAATCTTTTCATTTTTTTGCTACTTTGCTTTCAGTTCATATTTTGGTTTCCCAAATTTAAATAAATTTGGTTATCCATTAAAAAAAATTATTTTGCTGCTGTTCCAAAATGAAGTAAATTCTGCTTGCTATTTTTTTAAAGTTTTATTCTTATTTTTACTCTGCATCAATTTCTTTGCTCTCAATTTATGTTATTTGCTTACTGCAATTGCTTCTCTTTTTTGTTCTTTTTTTATGCTAAGCCATTTTTGCGGAAAGGACCTGAAGTGCCTTAACTAAGCCTGCATTCCAAATTAGCTCTAACTTATACACACACACACACACACACACACACACACACACACACACACATATATATATATATCTCACAAATAACCAAATACAAAGAAAGGCTCAGAATTCTAAAAGCCATTATAGCACAAAAGAAACACCCAATTAAAAAAAATATCTTTTTCCATAGTTGGCATCAGCTTTGAATAGATTTGCCGAAAAGAAGTCACTGTTGATGTGTAATTGTCTCAAAGGGTTTTGCTCCTGGTTTGAATTCGGGCATGCCCTTCTAGTGTGGTTGCCAACCAAAGTTAGAGAACTTGTTTTGCCCTGGCATTTATCTCAGAGTTAGGGATAAGAAAGATTTTCTTTCCTAAGGGCATCAGTATGAACTGCTCAGACTGTCTCTGCTTGCAAATTTTGCTTTGCATATTGTTAGCAGTTAGGCCACCTGCCCTTCCCTATAGAAATAAGTGGTAACTGGCTTGGTTCATTTTCAGAAATGTGAGTCACACACATGATACCATTCTAAGTCATCTATGTAACACTGTTTTATGTCAGATCACTCTACCATATCACCCAGTACTACCTGTTGCATAGGTCATTTGCGACTAAAATGCTTCCTCTGCCAGTAAGGATTTTCTGGTGAGGAGAGTGGCTAGACACCCATCAGGATTAAAAACAAAACATCAAATGGCAGATGAACCTTCTAGTAGGGTCAATGGCCATCTAATGCAAGGGAGTAGACTGGCTTCCATAGCTATAGATGTAACCAGTACAGTGATGACCCTGCTGGGTGGAGGGCTTCCTAGACTAAAGTCAATGAATGAATACCTCTCCAGTTTTCAACCCAGGTATCAGGTGCTCAGCTGCACAATGACCACACCTAGTCATAGGACTGGTGATGATAATGTAACACGATTCCATGTTTGTACATGGGGATAGTCTCCAGCCCTCTCCCTGTTCAGTATTTGAAAGACTTGTGCATCTGTTTGCCAGGTATGCTGCTTTCTTGTGTCATCTTATTCTTCAGCAGGATTCTCTATTTATTACTTGGACCTTATCCCAGTCATGCAGACCCCACTTCCTCCAGATTTTTTAGCAATGTTATGACAACAACAAAAGCAAAAAAAAATTAAAGTTCAGTCATCTGAAAACCTTGTAGGAAAATAATGACTCTTAAAATTGTAGACAGTTTAATTAGAAGAATATTTGGCATTTGTGCTGTAAAGATTTATGTGTTTAAAAATTTTTTTAACTTTAAAAATTTTTTATTTTTGGGCCATGTATGTATGGAAATTCTTTACTGCATATATTTTCAAATAAGTTAAAGTTGGTAAAGACTGAACAATATTAGACTGAAGGAATTAACAAAGTTCTTCTAGAATTTTAATTGCCAGTATCTTATAGCCCTAAATCACTCTTTGACAATGTATAGCATTAGAGAAAATAGTCTTTTTTAAAAATGTTTTTTTTTTTTTTTTTTTTAATTAATAAAATTTATTCCTATTTTAGGGAAAACTGAAAAAAGTGGAAAGGTTTTTGTGTGATGAGTTTCATCCTTTAGGACCTCGTCAGACTAATGAGAGGGGATACTGAAAACTTTGAATTAAAAACATTTTTTTTATTTTGTTTTTAATAAGTTTTTGGTAGATAGTCTAGCCCAGGATTTTTCAAATTCAAGGTCTTGACACTTTAGTAGGGCACAAGATAAATAAAATGGGTTGCAAGAAAAAAAGAAAGAAAAAAAAATATGCAAGTCTAGTTTTTCACAGAGTTAAGCTTGTATTATATTTTATTTTTCTAAATATATATATATATAGCATATTTTCATTCAAACAGGTTTGGTTGAAGAATTTAGATATATCATGTCAATTAGTTTTTGTTGTGATCCTTTTGAGTTCACTGATTAATTTTTTTGGTAGCTTTAGAAATTTTTGTTCTTTAAAAACTATTAAACAAACCTGTTTTTTTTATATATATATATATATATATATATATGAAAATATTACTTAAATTTTAAATATCAATTTTATTCTGACTTTGAAGTTTCTTGGTAAAATTTCCAGTCTTCAGGGGGTTCTGGTTTTAAACGATATTTTCAATTTTTTCAGTTTTTTTTTCAATTTGTTAAATAAATGAACCTAATAAACAGTTTGTCTTTGGTTTATTACATGTAGGTATAATGGGTTGCAATGCAAAATGTAATTTTTGCTGTGGGTTGCAGTAAAAAATTTTGAAAAATGCTGGTCTAGTTGATTTTTTTTCCTTTTTGTTTGTTTCAATCATATTTTTTATTATATATTCCACATCGCGATATGAGCTCTGCTAAGTAAGGTGAAATTTAAGAAGCTGAATGTAAATTTATTGTGCATGATCTAGCAATTAAAGCACTTTCTATACATTTTTCTTTTAGTAAATGGCTTTCTCTTTCACATGAAAAGATTTTCCACTTTGTAATAGATTTCTCTAAAATTGTTTTTGATATATAAAAATTTATATATCGTTTTCTCATTCCTATTATTTGTAAGGAGTATGGGATTTGTTCTCTTTTCACCAACTGCTTTCGTATAAATAAAGAAGTAATGCTGGCTAGATTTCTCTGGGATTTTTAAGCAACTGTCATCTACTGAAAAGAAGCTGGTTTTAATATATCAAGGAGTGAAATACTTCTAAATCTCATAATATCTAAAATGCATTATGAACATTTTTGCTCTTGTAGCAGTGTGGTCGGATGCAAATTAGAGCTGTTTTTGTTGGTTATCTTTTTGCTGCTGCTAATGGCAAGTGAGTTCATTGTAAGGAATATTGTTTCTTGTTACTTTAGGTGGATGCTGCTCTGGGAGCTGAAGAAATGGTAACCATGTTGACAGAAAAAAACCTGAAGTTAGAAGAAAGAATTGAGCAGATGGAAGAGGAAAAATCAGATTTGGTAAGTATTTTGTCACAATGGAATCAGAACCAAGGATTTGGTATGTAGAGATAAATATGAATATGTTAATTTGTAATTTAGTTTCATTGTTGTTTTGAGTTTTAAGATGATGTCAGCTGTTACCATTAATTTCTGGTGCACTTGATGAATTTTGTTACTGCTGATTTCATTCAAGGTCATCTTGGTAGCCTGTTGCCCCTTTGCCCCCATTGTATTCCCACCTCACTGAGTTGAAACTTGAGTATGCACTATGTTGAAAGGTATTGAATCAGGACCAAACTATAGCAACTTACCTCGTCAAACCAAGCAACAGTGCGTTGCGTGTATCCTACGACGGAAAAGAAAATTACTTACCAAAAAAAAAAGGGCATGTATTCCGCATGACATGCTGAAGACAGAATATTTAGATTAAAAACAAGTCCATCGCAGGAGTCTCTATAAAAGTATTTTGTTATGCAAAATACTTGGCGTCCTCTCCCAGTTGTCAATGAATGAAAAAACTGCTTGGCTGATAAAAGCAGTTGTTCTCGAACCGAGAGGAAAAAAACTTATGTATTTTAGCTACCGCGTTCGTCGGCGAGTGAGTTACTTTTCTGACTGGTTATGTGCATTGGGATTTGTGAGATAGTATCTGCGAATCGAGTTTTCAGCATTTCTTTCTGCCCCTGATATTGGAGTCTGAACTTACAGTCATTTGTTCTCTGCGTTGTGGAATTAATCTACGACAAACATTTCCTTTGCTTTCAGAACGCTTACACAAACACAAGAATTGTTTCTTTCTTTTTTAAATCTCTTCATAAGACTGATAACTTTACAGCACTCTGTTATATATAAAGAGGAAAAGTTTGTATGTCCATGATATGCAGTGGCCAAACCTTTTAATGTAAGCCCTCAAATTTGATATGCATAATGGGGAAATGGTCACTCTATCACTTTTTTATGTGGAAACATTTTGTGGTAACAATTACTGTTTGTTACCATTTATTGTAAGACTATAATTTCTGTTATTATCAGGACAAGAAAAAATATTTGTGCTTTGAAAAAGCAATTTCACTGAACAGTGTCCCTCTTTAAATATATTTTCTACTTAGTATTTCTTCATTGAAAACCAGGAACAATAGGAATTTAATTTGTTTTTTCTTTATTGTACTAATTGCTATTTTATGAAGTTACTGTGCATAACCATTGTCACTGAAAATGAACCTTGATGCAGATGTTATATTTCTAAATTACAAATTTCATTTATTTTATTTTGAAATTATATGAAATGACTTTTTAGGCCTATAATGTACATGAAAACTTATGCACATGGCTAAAATATATTTGCAGTACTCATCCTAATTGACCATATTAAATGACCTTGGTACCAAACAGTTCTGGGGATGGCTTCTATGTGCAGTATGGCTCTCCACATCTTTTGTTTCTCTTTTTGCTATCCCTCCCAATCCCTCTTCTGCTATCCTTGTTAAATAGGTTACTTTCTCTTTTCCTCTTGCCTTCAATATGTCCTGTGAGTGTTAAATTCTCTAGGCCCTCATTCCTCATTATATGTTCTAAAAATTTCAAATGTCTCCGATTCTGAGTGTCTTTTTTGTTTCCATTTCCCTTAAAACTTCCTCATTAGTCACATGTTCAGTCCATGGTATTCTTAGTATTCTTCTGGAGAAACATATTTCTGTTGCTTCAAGTCTTTTCCTTATGTGAGGAGATTGCCCAGCATTCACTGCCATTTAGGAGGATTGATATTATGTAACAGTTCAATTAGTAAATAAATTAAATGCATTTAATTCAGTCAAATTCTATTATCTGAGAATTTTCCAGATACTTGTCTTTGTGTTAACCTGTAGATATATATTGGCTTGTCTTCTTATTAAGTAATCTAAAACTTACTAACAAAATGTAATATGGGTTTCCCCTGTCTCTCCATAAATGGAGAGTTCCTATGAAATCTTTTGAAAATCTTTTATCCAAAATTCTTGCTACCAGAATTACTTTGGTTTTCAGGTTTGTTTTAGGGATTTTGGAGTACAGCCTATTTAATTTGTATATAGCAGCTTGGGAATGGAAACTCAAGCATAAACGCAATATCCCTTTACATTTCATAACACAGCTTATACATATACCCTGAAGTTATATATAAAGAACATATACCCTGAAATTAGTTTTATATAAAATTTAATAAATGTTTTTGTATATACAGATACAGGTCATGACGCTTGTCATGTAATGCTCATAGGGATTTTTAAGTGGTGAAATTAAGATTCCATGTAAAAATAATGTCTTGTACTTTCTGTATGTGTCCAAAAATAACATGATCACTACTTACAAAAAATATATAAGTGCAGGACTTTTTGACATTTTGAATAATATCTTTACTGAGCATGAAACACTTGGTAAGTAATTCCTGAATGTAGGTGTTGCTGTGACAACTGCTAACAAAAAAAATTATGCAAATGTAGGTGATATAGCTGAACTGGGGAATCCCCACCCAGGGCAGATGAGGTCATTTACAATAGCTGCACATCACCTAGGAAACTTCTCAGTGCTTTCTGAAATTTCCCATTTGTAGCAAATCATGTCAGCACCTAAAAAACTTTTTTTTTTTTTTTAAAATTTGAATAAAGGATACTCAGCCTGTAATGAGTCTTTTGTAAAAGGGAACTTTCAGAAAGTCAGCGATTATCTGTATCTCAAATCAAACTCTTTTCTCTTTTAGTTTCTTTAAATCATTAATGCCCAATGTATTCATTATAAAAATAAAAATCCAGAATTCTATTATATATTTTTAGCAAACTTGGACCTTTGTGCCTGCAAAACACATGGAGTGTCAAAAGAATGTTTTTTTTTATTGTTACCACTATTATTTTAATTACCTTTTACTCCTTGGCAATGTTTGTTGTAAAAAGTGTTGATTAGAATTGTAATGAAGCCTAAACATTTGAAAGTGAATTTATAATTTTCTTTGTTTTTGAGAATTTTCAACAAAAATAATAAACAATATTTATTAGATTGTTTATTAGAATGGTTGGCAAAGTATCAGTTAATTGCCAATTGATCAAACTTTATAAAATGGTAAATAACTATTTCCATGTTTGCCATATTTTCTTAAAAAACGTTTGGTATGCTTTATTGGTAATTTGCTTTATTCCATTGCTTTTATTTTTCTCTTTGGACAATTTCAGGAAGCTCTTCATGAGATGAATGAAGAATTGCAAGAGAATGCAAGGGAAACAGAATTGGAACTGCGTGAAGAATTAGATCTGGCAAATGGACGATTGCTTGAGGTAAATCACTTATTTTCATTGCTTCTAAAATCAAACAAAAACATACCAAGTATTAGACGAGAAAATGATGTGGATTTTCATTAGGAACACTTTTCATTTTCAAATGAATTTTTATGCAAAGCTTATTTGTTTTAATTATTTGTTTTACATATGAAAAGATAAAGAACAAATAGGAAACATTTATCAATCTAACATGTTTCACTTTTATTAAAGATTCATTAGAGAATGAGATCTGGAGAAAAAGAAGAAAAAAAATTCTGGTGTTTTACTTTTGTGTTTGATTTTCATTGGTTAATCATGTTTCACATGTATTTGACTTGTTAAACAAACTTTACTATAATTTGTGGTGTTATGAATTCAAGGAGAGATCACATGTCCAATCAAAGTTCCAAGAAATTAATGGATTCCTAACTTAACTGAAAAGATGTAAATATTGTTTTATGTATTTAAGTGTATAATTATAGTTTATCTATGTGGCATTCAGATGATGATGTATATTCACTCCAGGAAATCAAACAGTAATTTTAAAATGGTTTTTCTTTTCTCCTCAGTCAAAAAGATAAAACTGACTTTTCTTTTTTTCTTTTCTTCAGACAAAACGTAAACTGGAAGCTGCATGGGAAAGTATGGCTGACTATGATAAAACCATATCTAAATTCAGAGATTTGGTTAGCCAACTTCAAGTAAGTCAATTTCAGTTTTTTCTTTTTACCACAATTTTTCTTCCTTTCTCTCTTGTATTCTGACTGGAGGAGTCAATCCCAGCATGTGGGTACCTTTGGAAAGTGCTTTAAAATCAAACCATGGGTTGACCCAAGCCTTGTGAGTGAAATTGGGTAGACGGAACCCTTGGGTATCGTTGATGGCTGTGCTAACACAGTCACAACTCATTGTAGCCGAGGGTTTGAGTATGCTGGCCTTGTTCCAATTGTTGATCATGCTCGATAACAGGCTGTCTCCCTAAAACTGTAATTAAGGTCTGCTCAGCATAGTTGCAGTATAAACCACAGGTTGGCTCTGTGGGTGTTGAACAGACATGGATGTGCCTAAGTGAGTGTCTGCAATAAGGATTAGCTAGCCACCCTAATGACGGGTATCCTTGAATACAAGTGGCTAACCATTGTTATGTATATATATATATATATATATATATACATGAAAATGAGAATAAATGAGCATGATTCATTTAATTTAATTTAAAAGAAATAATTGTAAATGTAGTGATTTTATATACATATACACATATATATATATATATATATATATATATATATATAAAATATAAAATTGAACATATGTTGATGCAATCGACGGCTAATGACGTTTCATCCAGCATGAAACAAACTGTCGCCATTTAATGTTGACTTCTATGTTCACTTTTTATATTTACACACGGTCTATCTCGATATTGAGCATTTTATCCCATAAATATAGCACTTTAAGACTATATTTTTTCATTATATATATATATTAAGAAAAAAAAAAATATATATATATATATATATATAACATAAGAATCATCTGCCGAGAATGATAGCCAACAATTTCTGAAAAAACAGTGGAAAAACAAAAATTAAACTTTAAATCAAATAATTTTGAGACCTATAACCTACCATTCAATATGAAGGAACTAAATGAATCTTTAAAGAAAGCCCACAATACAGCTGTGGAACTAGATGATATCCACTATCAATTCATAAAACAGTTGCCCAACAAATCATTACTAAATTTGTATAACATGTGGACAAGTGGCAAGTTCCCAGATATGTGAAGACAGTCATTCATCATCCCTATTCCAAAACCTGGAAAGGATGACACAGACCCTGAAAGCTACAGGCCAATAATGCTAATGAGCTACCTATGTAAATCTGTGGGAAGAATGATGAACATGTTGACTTGGTACCTAGAAACTAACAGCGACTATCAGTATGCTTTTAGGAAAAAAGGAAGTACCATGGATCACTTAGTATGCCTCAAAACCTTTGTAAGGGAAGCCTTCATTAAGAAAGAACATCTCACGGCAGTCTATTCTAACTTAGAAAAGGTGTATAATACAACAACAAAATTTGGTATCTTGAAAGATCTGCAGGAACAAAAAGGAAGGCTGATTCAATTCATAGGGAATTTCCTGAAAGACCAGAGGTTTCAAGTCCATATAGATCCAGATCCAGAAGAAGGCTTCCACAAAGAAGCATTTTTTTGGTAACAATTTTTTGCGTAAAAATTAACTCCATAGTTAAAACCCTAAGGCCAAGAGTGAGTTGCTCTCGAAATGTAGATGATTTTCTAATTATGTACAGATCTCAACATATGAATACCATTGAAAGAAACTCCAACAATGTCTCAATAAAATATACAAAAGTGACACTGAAAATGGGTTTGTTTTCCAAAATTAAAACCAAATGCCTACATTTCTGAAAATTAAGAAAATTGCACAATGATCCATGTTTAAAATTAGACTGAGCAGAAATCCGATTAGTGGAACAACGCAAGTTTCTAGGCATTATCTTTTGATAAAAAAATGAACATTCATTCGCCATCTAAAATATCTGAAAACAAAATGTAGCAAAGTTCTCAAACTACTAGTGGCCCATACTGAATGGATTATGCTAGCTTCATATATGGGGTGGCCAGAAAAAACCGAAATGCAACCTATCATCAAGGCCTCAGATTAGTACTCAGGGCTTTTAGAACAACCCTAGTGGAGAGCTTATACACAGAAGCTAATGAAACACCTCCACATTTATGGTGCACTATACTGACGCTACAGTATTATGTAAAAATAAAATCATGGATCATTACAGCAGTACCTTTGAACCAAATTACTGCAATCTATTCCAACAAAAAGATAATTCTACACAATCCTCCGGACTCGGAATGAAATCCATTGCTGAAGAGTTAGGCACCACTCTCAAATATACAAGAAATACTACAGCCATTATTCCACCATGGACTATCAAGCAACTCAGTGTTCTGCTAGAATTACATAATCTTCCAAAACAAAAGAAAACTCACCCTCTCACATTCCAGAATAAGAATCTTCCTTCTTCTAGATTGGTTACCAACCAAGGAAAAGATAAATAAATACTTTTCTAAGGGTATTTGTGCAAAAGCAAACTCTATGGCCTTACCTAGAATTTGAACTCAACATGCCAAATCTGTTTTTTTATGCCAACAACTATGCTATATGCACATTGAAATTGCACACAATTCAAAGAGAAATGGATATTTAGCAATTCCATATGGTTCTTGCTAATTTCTTTCATTCTGATTTTTTTTTTTTTTTTTTTTTTTAACAGTAAGGTTCACTCTGTACAAGGACTGGGGGGCACTCAAAGCATAGTCGTGTTAAGGGGTGGTTTATATGGAAAGGAGGGAAAGATGATGGTTGACTCTAGACTTGAACAGGAGGTTCTCTTTTCTCTTTCTTTTCTCTTTCTTTTCTCTTTCTTCTCTTTCTTTTCTTCTCTTTCTTTTCTTCTCTTTCTTTTCTCCTTTCTCTTTCTTTTCTCCTTTCTCTTTCTTTTCTCCTTTCTCTTTCTTTTCTCTTTCTTTTCTCTTTCTTTTCTCTTTCTTTTCTCTTTCTTTTCTCTCTCTTTTCTCTCTCTTTTCTCTTTCTTTTCTCTTTTCTCTTTCTTTTCTCTTTCTTTTCTCTTTTCTCTTTCTTTTCTCTTTTTCTCTTTCTTTTCTCTTTCTTTTCTCTTTCTCTTTCTTTTCTCTTTTCTCTTTCTTTTCTTTTCTCTTTTCTCTTTCTTTTCTCTTTTCTCTTTCTTTTCTCTTTTCTCTTTCTTTTCTCTTTCTTTTCTCTTTTCTCTTTCTTTTCTCTTTTCTCTTTCTTTTCTCTTTTCTCTTTCTTTTTCTCTTTCTTTTCTCTTTTCTCTTTCTTTTCTCTTTTCTCTTTTCTTTTCTTTCTTTTTCTTTTCTTTCTCTTTTCTCTTTCTTTTCTCTTTTCTCTTTCTTTCTTTCTTTCTTTTTCTCTTTCTCCTTTCTTTTCTTTCTTTTCTCTTTCTTTCTCTTTTCTCTTTCTTTTCTCTTTCTTTTCTCTTTCTTTCTTTTCTTTCTTTCTTTTTCTTTCTTTTCTCTTTTTCTCTTTCTTTTTCTTTTTTCTTTTTTGTTTTCTCTTTTCTCTTCTTTCTTTTCTTCTTTCTTTTCTTTTTTTTTCTTTTCTCTTTCTTTTTTCTTTCTTTTCTCTTTCTTTTCTCTTTCTTTCTTTCTCTTTTCTCTTTCTTTTCTTTCTTTTCTCTTTCTTTCTTTCTTTTCTCTTTTTCTTTTTCTTTCTCTTTCTTTTTTCTCTTTCTTTTTTCTCTTTTCTTTTTCTTTCTCTTTTCTCTTTCTTTTTCTTTTTTCTCTTTCTTTTTCTTTTTTCTCTTTCTTTTCTTTTTTTTTCTTTTTTCTTTTTTCTCTTTCTTTTCTTTCTTTTCTCTTTCTTTTTTTCTCTTCTCTTTCTTTTCTCTCTTTTTTTCTCTTCTCTTTCTTTTCTCTCTTTTTGTTTCTCCTCTAGTCTGTATAAGTCTGTTGATTTTAAAATTTGCAAGACTGAACAGCATCAACCACTTAACTGAGGTTATGTAACAGTTTTCACTGTTTTATAACTAGGATGCCAATATTTGTTTTTCCAATGTTTTTTTTTTTTTTTTTTAATTTCCCTTCAGGCAAGGCGATAAAGCCACTAAGACATGTGGGTTGCTGAGAGTGAAAGAAAATGTTATTGAGGAAAGAGGACAATAAAAGAACAGACAAAAAATGATGATTGATATTGCATTTAAACTTTTGTGGATCAATATTGAGTGGGAAGCAAGAAAATGGAAAGAGTTCCACAAGCAAAAAGTGTAATAGAAGAATAAAATTTAGTTGCATCTTAGTTTCAACAGTAAAATGATGAGACCTAACTGCCAATCTAGTACTATGCTTAAATTCATGAAATTGAGTTGTCAAGGCAGAAAGTTATGAACAGTTATCATGAAAATATTTATAGAAAAGGCACAGAGAAGGTACATTATGATGATGGGAAAAGACTGAAGCCAAGATGCCATGTCAGAACTGATGACATTGCAGATTCTTTGGATTTTGACAAGAATCTCTAGATACATAGCAGAATCACTAGACCAGATGTGGCAGTAATATTTAATACATTGATGAATGGTGAACTTATAAATGTACAAGATAGATTTTGGCAAGAAAAATAGTCTAACACGACATAGAGAGCCAACTTACCTCAAAGCAAATCTAGCAATGGTTCAAAATTCCACTTCATGACTGAGAAGATGCACATGGTTTTAAATTCAGAGTGGTTTCTTCTCCTGGACTGGCTGCAATCCAAGGCTAAAGAGCTCGGTTTAACCTGATATTTAACACAGTTGTGGAGGGAGAAGAGATGGGTCCATGCTTTTCTTAACAGCATTGGTGTGAAAGTGAATATAACAGACTAGACTGGAATTTGAACTTCAGTACAAATTTATATTGTTCTAGCAGAAGTATGTTAACAGGCTGGAAAAAATTGCTGGAAACCTTGATGGCAGTGGTAATATTGCTGGAGGCCTGTTAAGAGACAGTTGTAAAATTGCTAGAACTTTGGTGACTGGTTGTTCTAGAAATGACAGAATCCTGTCATTGGAATGTTGTTAAATTGATGGAATCCTGTTAGATATAAGTTCTACTCTAGCAGCTTCTTCCTGCAAACTGCTGCTTTGTGGAACTGACTTCCAAGAGGATGCTTCCTCAATCACAAGAATAATTAACCTTTTTAAGTTTTGAGTCAACTGTTATCTTCCTGACATATCTCCATAAACTGGGCCTCTTAAGCTGTGACCCTCTAACTTGAGTGGCTCTCGGGTCTTGGCAAAGATCATTGTAAAAAAAATAAACAACAAATTTTGTAATTCTGTTACTATTAATATTTTTATTTTCTTGATACTTACCTTTTAAAACTGAAGATGAGATTTTTTTTTTTTTTTTGACAGTTGATTGGGAGCTGCTTCTTTGAAATGACATTGTAATTTTTTAAAAATTTTATTTTCAGGATGACAACAAAGAACTTCGCAGCAAGCAAGCAGAAGCTGAACAGAAACATGATACTCCAACATTGGAAGTGTTTGATTTTAAAACCAAATTTGCTGAAAACAAAGCCTATGCCAAGGTTTGGATTTTCTCCCTCTTTTTTTTTTTTTTTTTTTTTATTACTCAGCTGATCTTAGTCTGGTACAAGGCCACATATGCTTGACACAAAGTGAGGATCAAAATCACTATGATACTAAAGGGCTGTGAGGTTAATTTGCTAATCATTGCACCATGGTGGAGCATACTTCCTGTGTTTGGTGGAATACTAAGTTGCATTTTCATAGTAAAAATCATGGTCCAATGCATTTTCATAGTAAAAATCATGGTCCAATGCATTTTCATAGTAAAAATCATGGTCCAATGCATTTTCATAGTAAAAATCATGGTCCAATGCATTTTCATAGTAAAAATCATGGTCCAATGCATTTTCATAGTAAAAATCATGGTCCAATGCATTTTCATTGTTGACTCAACCTGATATGAGAACCTCCTCTCCTTTAGATGTCACATTACTAACATGGCTTCATAATACAGTAAGAGGTGTTAGTCTGATTCGGACAGTCCACCTGGATGGTATTTATTATTAATTGACTGGACCTGTAGAAAAGACTCTGAAACATTTTTACATGTTCTAAAATGCACACAAATGAGAAAAACATATGAACTTTTTTCTTTTTTAATCATTTGACCCCCCCAAGCAGGGCAATAATGCCACTAAGATGCAAGGGGTTTGTTATATGCCGTACCTCTGAACACTAATGAGCATGTCCCAATCCTCATAAATACATTGGACACTATTATAAGTGGGGGTAATATGCTCTCTAAGTAGTCCACCACTAGCAGTGGTTTACATACTTCCTGCCGCTGGCAAGTATTCTATTTTGTTGACGTTATAAAGATTACCATTTCATTTCCAACCTCAGTTTTGATTATTCTTCACTCAGTAACCTTTTTCTAGCTTACAACAATATGTATATAATATTTCTTTTATCCAATCCTCCCATAAAAATGAACCTTTTTAGATTCATTATACTATGGTAAGAATTCATATAAATATATGGTATTTTTCAGCTTATAAGACACATTTCTTTACCTATAAGATATCTCCAAAAACCACTCTGCATCCTAAAAGGTCGAAGGTCAGTGATGAGAGTTAAATCTTCTTCTAATTATTACATTCTAAATAGTTGCTATAAAATTCATACTTTTTCATGATCCGTCATCAACTTGTCATTGTCAGATTTTTATACTGAAATATGCTATTCAGTTGATAAAATTGGGAATAGTGGAGTGGGGGTGTTTATCAAGTACTTTTTTTTCGAAATTATGACTTCAATATTAATATTTGGTGGGCATATAATGCATTGGAGCATTTTATAAACTGTGAAATTTGGTGTGCATATATATATATATATATATATATATATATATATATATATTGTGTTATATGCTGTACCTATGGCATGTCAATCCTCATAAATACATTGGACACTATTGTAAGTGGGGGTAATATGTTGTCTAAATAGTCCACCACTAGCAGTGGTTCACTTACTTTAATCTGCTGGCGAGTATGATGAAACTTTATTATTACTAAGAGCTACAAATGTTGTGGAGAGACAATATTACCCACATCCTGAAGGGATAGGGCACAAAGAAGCATAATTGCTTGATTTTTTTTTTTTTTTTTTAAATTTCTAATTCTTACAAAAAAAGAAATCTATTATTTTCTAAAACCTATTTTTTTTCTGTGTTTCAGACCATCGACATGGAATTGCGTAAACTTGATGTTCTACAGGCCAATTCCCATGTTTCGTTGTTACAGATATTTATGCCAGATACATTTATGAAGACAGGTAAATTTCTTTAAATTTTGTAATATTAATATGAAAGCTGGATAATTACAAAATTCCTGTACCATTCCAACAATTATCTCCCCCTTCCTGCTATTCCCTACCTTTACAAGAGCCAGGTCAGGCCTAAAATGGATTACTACTGCCATATATCAGTGGGAGCTGCTCAGTCTTCACTTTCCATTCTTGATAGAATCCAAAAGAATCTCTGTGTCCTTGTACGTGATAAATTATTTTCCACTCTGCAACTCCTTTCTCCAAGACGAGACTACACCAGCCTCTCACTGCTATTTCCATGCTGAATGTTCAAATGAACTACACTCCTTAGTTCCAACAGTTCTAATCTTCATGGCTAAGACCTGCCATACCACACACATTGTAGCGAACCACCCTCATTACCTTTACTTCCCCCAGGTGAGAAGTAAGTTTCACTCTAGCACCTTCTTCCCACAAACTGCTGCCCTGTGGAACTGACTCCTAAGAGGCTGCTTTCCCAATCGCTACAATCTTAACCTGTTCAAGTCAAGGGTTAATTGTTATTTTCTGTACATATCTGTATAAGCTGTACCCTCTACCTCGAGTGTCCCCAGGACCTTGTATAGGATGAACACAACTAAAAAAAAAAAAAATGCAGAAGTGACTCAAAGTGACAGAAATGTGACTCTACAGGTAGGTACTTGGGAATACCATGATCTGAACATATAAGCAATAGGGAAGCTTTAAAGAAAATGGGGACTAAAAGAGAACTAAGTGTACAGGGCAGGGAGACAAGGAGTAACCTACTTAACAGGTTCTATTTTGCCTTTAAAGCACCCTTGTTCAGATTTTTCTTGAAAGCCGTATCTGTTCAGTTTCATATCCAAAACATAAAAAAAAAAAATTTCTAAAGAATTAATGGATTTTATTCTTTCATCTGAGATAATATATATATATATATATATATATATGTGTGTGTGAGAGAGTGAATCCTAATTATGTGTGTATGCACTTATACCTTCTATTGTCTGTTGTGCTATTTATCAAGACCTCCAGTAGAGTGGCATCACCAGATAATTGTTCTGATTAAGTTTCTACTATGGTACCTAGACTTTATGAATTTAAGTGTACTATTAGATTGGTGGCAAAGTCTCATTATTTTACTGTTGAAATGACTAGATGTAACTAAGTTCTATGATAACAGTTTCTTCTATCACATTTCTTGCTTCCCAGTTAATTTTGATCTTCAAAAATTTAAATGCAATATCAATCATTGTCTTCCTCCTTAATAGTGTCTCTAACAACTATAATCCTGCCATGTTAGAACACACTGTATACAGTATCATCGCCTTTTCTTCACCCATTGCTTTCGATTAGAAATAAAAAAAGAAATTAAATTTATTGATTGATTTGTTTACTATGGCATATAAACACTTCGCAGGTTATTTAAAGCCAGGAAATATTTTTAGATTGTAAGAATTCAGAGACTATGAAGAAACACAGCACATGAAAGATGATGATGAATTATGGCCCTTGGTCAAACATCAGGTTTGGTTGTCTGCCCTTGGCGCGATGCATAAAAAAATATCAGCCTTATATACTGTATATTTTATCATTTCACTCAAGCAAGGCAATAAAGCCACTAAGACGCAAGTGGTTACTGAGTATTATAGAATGAGAAAAAGAGAAAAACACTATTAAGGAGGAAGACAATGATTGATATTGCATTTAAATTTTTGAAGATCAAAATTAACTGGGAAGCAAGAAATGTGATAGAAGAAACTGTTATCAAATAGAACTTAGTTACATCTAGTCATTTCAATAGTAAAATAATGAGATTTTTGCCACCAATCTAATAGTACAATTTAAATTCATAAATGTTATAGAAAAAAGGCATGAAAGTGAAAAGGCAGTGAAGCTGTGTTACAAATGGTGGAAAGCGATGTTGTCTGTAGTTAAGCTGCCAATAATAGTGAGATGGCGTGAATTAAACCAGGGTCTGGAAATTTATAACCTGTCAGTTTTACATTACAAATTTAGGAGTTATTAATGCATTTTACATGCCTTTAAAATCTATAGGCAAGAAAATAATTTTTTTTCTTAACCTTTAACATTCTGAAGGTGATTTTGTTTGCAAAGCAAACATTTTATGATGCTACTGCAAGTAACTCAGACGAATGAATAATAGCATGTTTGAATTTTGTAGTTGTGTTGTCATATCCTGCTATGGCAACAGAAAATGACCATAACTGAAATTAAGTATTACAGTAGAGGAGCCTTGAAAAATAATGCAGTGGAAAAGAAGGGAGTGAATAAAGCAGAATGTTAAAGGTTAAATACTTAAAATGCTAGAGAATTGTCAACTATCAACAATTGTTTTTGTTTGGTAAAAATATTCAAATTTATTTCAAATATTTTAGTACTGATTTAACTGACATTTTGAAAATACATAGGTATTACTTGTTAATTTGTTTATAAATACAAATGTCCATTTACAACATTATCAGAAAATAAGAGCAATGACTATAGACATTTTAAAGCCAAACTACCTAAAATCCAATAAAAAACAAATTTCCTAAATTTTTTAAGATTACTAGGTAGTTAACAATTATATAAAAAAGATGCTCACATTATATTCCTCAACTAATTTTTACACATGATGTAAAAATTAGAAAAAATTAGATAAATTTTAGTCTGTCAATTTGTGGATATCTAATTAAAACACCTACCACTGTGTTAAAAAAAATGCATTTCTGCAATATATTAAACCAAAAGTAAGTAATATTTGTTTCATATCAGATTAATTAAACTCTAAATCAGCTAATATTCCTCAGAGAAAGTTTCAGAAAATTTTATTTTGGAAAGATTTTTTTAATTCATTGTAATGACAGAAGCATAAAAATAGTTCTAAAGTCAGCAATGTTATTGATTTAAAAATGAAAACTTCCAGCCAATTTAAATTGATTTTAAAATATAGCAAAGTATTTTGTTATTGGAAATATTAAATTTAATCTATTAGTTTAAAACTAAAATAAATGTTTCAAGAAGGATTTTTCATTTTTAAAAATTCATTTTAAACCTTAGGTATCACATTTCTGTGGAGGTGTACCTACTATTGAGACAGGTGTAAAGAGATTACTTTTTGGTTATATTGTAGCTTTGTCTTTTGTTATAAAATTCTACTTCAAGGGAAATATAATTTTATTTTTTTTTTCTCTTCTCTTTTTTTTTTTCTCATATTTTCTTTTTCTATTTTTCAGGTGACAGTGATGCCATCCTTGCTGTATTGCTTGTTCCTCGTACCATAAGCAAAGCTGATTTGCTTATCTCCCACGTAAAAGATAAGGTTTGTATTCATTTGTTTCTCTTCCTCATTTAACTATCTGGGTAGTGTATTCAGGTGACAAGTGTGTCACGGAGATCTGAAGGCACATTGGAATAGCAAAGAAGGTCTTCCAGAAATTAAGCAAAATGCTAAGACATAGCATCTGTCTATATTTCTGAGATGAGATATTGTAACTATTTACATAGTTTGGACTCTTGTCCTCCTCTTGCCATATTCATGATGTTTCAACTATTGTATGCTCCAGCCTTCTTCAGGTGATATATGTTGGAATTTCAAACTGAACCTTTATGGGTCCATGGGGGTAGATTGTTCTAATTTCATGTGCCATGCCTTTTTTTTTTGGATATCTCAGTTTCAGTTAATTGAAACTGAAGAAGACTAGAGTGGACAATGGCCGAAATATCGTGAATATGGCAATAAATATGGTGATAATAGTCCAAACAATGTGAGTAGTGTAAATAAGATATAGCAATATTTTGTTAGACAGAAAGAAGAGCATTGAACTGCTGTGTCATATCTATCTCCTTATTTAGCAGAAAACAATTTTCTTAGAGATGAAGAATACTTGAAATAACGAATGTGGTTTAACAAGTGGATGCTGAGAATATTATGAACAGGAGAAAGACAGTTTAAAATCATAAAGAAGCAGTTGAAATTTCTGGGATATATACTGAGAAAAGATGGCTTGGAAAACTTAATACCCACAAGATGTATTGATAGAAGAAGGAGTTGAAAGAAACATTAAACAATTTAGCTAATGAGTTTGAATAGAGGGAAGAGCAGGGACATAGAGGAAAAAGAAAAAGTTAAACATTGCTTAGAGCTACAAAGAACAAGAAGTTGTGGAGGGCCATGATCATCCACATCCTGAAGGGATACAACCACATGTTAAAAATGGGAACTAAAAGAGCACTTATATTTAAAATTAGGAGACAGTTAAAATTTCTATGATGCATAATGAGGAAAGAGGGCCTGGAGAATTTAACACTCATAGGACATATTGAAGACTGGGAAGGCAGTGGGGAAAACGAGGAGTCACAGGTTCTATTTTGCCTTTAGAGCACACTTGTTTAGATTTTTTTTGAAACATACATTGGCTCAGTTTTGTATCCAAAACATAAACAAAGCAATTTCTAAAGAATTAATGGATTTTACTTTTTTTAATCCAGTGTGTGTGTGTGTGTAGAGATCATAATTATATGTGAGCATATGAGCATATCTGGATCTGGTTAAAAATTTTATTGTCTCTTGTGCCATTTATCAATCTGATATCTCCAAGACCACCAGTAGAGTGGCATCACCAGATAACACTGCCTTTAACAACTATAATCCTGCCATGTTAGAACACGCTGTATACAATATCATCGCCTTTTTTTTTCTTCACCCACTGCCTTAAATTTGAGAGATTCGTTTACTATGGTGTATCATTATTTTGCAGATTATTCAAAGCCTGGAAATATTTTTAGATTGTAAGTTTTTTTTTTTTTTTTTTTTTTTTTTTGACATAATAATTTAGTAATATGAATCTTCTTCCCCCGCTATGGGTTAATTAGTAAGAGGTGGATTCATACATACTTAAAAGGTTTATATAAATGGATGGCAGCAGGATAATAATCTATTTGTATTGTATATAGTGATTTTTCTAAACACAGCTTAGATATGCCACAAGGCCAAATGTATGGGGCACCTAGTAAGGATCGAACTCACTACTCCCTCGTAATTGATCTAGCAAGACTAGCTTCCTAACCATTACACCATGTCGAGCTGCCCTTATTTCTATTGTATTTAATAATCAAATGTTGCTTAGTTACTATGAGGAAACACAGCACATGAAAGATGATGAGTTGGTATTTATCAAGACTTTTTGTGTATCGAGTCCAATTCAATGTTTTTCACTCATGTTTAGCTTCATCTTTAAAAATGCAGTTTGTCAAGAGAAAGATTAACCTGTTGGAATATGTTGAGTTTCATTGGTTATCTCCCCTTAGTTTTGGCAAATTCACATCCTCCCGGTTAAACCAGAATGTGATAGAGAATAATGTTAAAGTGATCACTGAAAATGGTTTCTGGTTCTCATGAGATGTCTGTTTGAAGTGGTTTCTCAGTTGGAAAGCTTGGTGGGGAGAAAAATGTCCCACCCAAAGAAGTAAACAATAATAATAGTCTCTCTTTGAAATTAATAAACTCTTGTCTTGATTTGTTTTTATAGTTTGATGTAACAGATGCCATCACTCGGGATGATGTGTTTAAGACCCACCGAGGCACACAGGTTAGCTATGCGAATCACCTGATTATGTTGCTGCATATTTTTGTCAGAGTGCTCAGGCAGTTTGAAAGGTACGTTCAATTAAACATTGCTGTCACTAATTTATTAGAATTTTTTTTAAGCAATTTGAAAATTTAGAATTGAAAATTTGAAGTAAGTATATCTGTAGGTAATTTAAAAAAAAAAAAATGGGATGTTTTATTGTTTATTCACATTTTTAATCAGCCCACTGAAAACATACATACATGTATGTTTTTTTTCTGTTTATACATTATTTTTATAGATACAATTTATTTAAATAAATGCTCTCTTGTTTTTGTTTTTTTAATTAAATGCATAAATGTATCTATAAAAATAATGTATAAATAGAAAATATATTAAATAATTGTCAGACTTAATCCATTTCATGAGATATATGTAAATGTCTTTTTGATGAATTATTTGATCTGGCATTATTTCTCATTGCTATAAACATTGTTTTTAGTGGGTAAGAATGGTTGAGTTGCTATCTCTGCTGTTTTTTTCTTATTTTTCTTAAACAGGGAAATTAATAACGGGTCTAGAATGAGATGTCTTAAAGAAAAATTGTGCCTTGCCTATATAAGGATTACACTTCTCTTGAAGGGACTTCTGTGAATCTATATCTACCTGCTTCATTAGCAGTACATGTTGACTATAGGAGTGGTTTCCCTAAAATGGAAAAAGGGATAATTATGATTTGCCTTTTTTTTTTTTCTTTTTTTTTTTAATCAAATTTGAGATCTTTTATTTTTTGAGTTGATGGTAATTTTTATTAAGAAAATTTACTTGAAAGGAATGAGTCAGATGAAGTGTATATGTAGGAAGTTTTTTTTTAACACAAGACATTTTAGGGATAAAGGCTTTGTGAATCTATAGGTAGATTTTTTTGTTTTCTACACTTGTAGATATGAATTTCCCTCTGTCAAACATCTGTTAAATTTCTTTTTTAGTGCTTTGAAAACATGCAGTGTGGAATTACTTTTGAAAATCAGCACTCTTGTACCAGAGATGGCAATCCATGAAAAGGCACTTGATTACTTTATTGACATGCTTCGAAAGGATCAGGTCAGTAATCACATCTTTTTAGTCTTTCTCTCTATTTTGCTGCCAACTTTCTCTTTCTTTTGTATGTAGCTCCTGCTTTTTTGTATTCGTGTGTGTGGTGTATTTTTCTTTTTGTATTTGTGCATGTGTTTGTGTGCACGCATGTATGGTATCTTTTCCTTTTTGTATTTGTGTGTGTTGTCTTTTCCTTTTTGTATCTTTTCTTTTCCTTTCTCTTTGCTGTCTTTTTATCCAGCATTTTTTTTAAATTCATTAACTAAGTAGATATTATTCTATTGACTAAATATATTAGTTTCTGTCTTCCTTTTTATAACTTCAGGGGCTTTGGAGCAAAATAAGTACTGTACATGAACATTTTAGTGTGTAGATATTACTATGATTATTGTAAGGTTTAGTTGCATAATTCACTGTTAATGAAGTTTTGCTGCATGTTACAGCAATCACAGTAATATCTCCAACCTTTGTCAACAAGAAAAGTTAGCTATAATAACATTTCAAGACCCAAAAACCTTTTGAATGAGAGACTGAAAATTATGATCCATTGCATACACACTAAAATGTTCCTTTTGAGTTCATATGAACTGGGATGAAAAGAAAGTATTTACATTTAATTTAACCCTCCTTGACTAATACATTTCCTGTACCCTTGCTTTTTTTTTTCCACATTCTCCTCCTCCCTTTCTATCACACTTCCTGTCAGTTGTTTATTTTGAAAATAAAGTGTTAGGAAATCAATTGACTGAAATTGCCTGAAAATATTGAAAGGTTGAAACCAAAGTAACTTTTTATACTACTTATATATATATATATATATATATATATATATATATATATATATATATATATATAGATAATATTAGTGGTAAATATACATACATATGCAAAATATATAAATATATATACATAGATGCATACACATATATATTTTTTGAATAAAAAAATTCCAAGAGGATAGAATCCAGGTAGAACTCAATGTCCAGGACAGAGTAAGGATATAATAAAAAGGCTTAAACACTAATATTCCATGGTCATAATTTATTCCATTGGAATCGTAAATACGATCCAATTCGTCAGACCTACAAATTCAAATTTTTATATATATATAATGTGTGAATGCACACACATGCAAAAAAAGAGAAAAAAATGACACCAATGAAAAGTACATATAAAAAAAGGAAAATTGAAGTATAAGCAGTCAATTGCTGAATACCCATGAGGAGTGGATGGTGCAATCCCCATGGTTTATGAAATTCCAGAGTCAGGATGCTGAAGGTAACATCAATCAGCTAGGTGGCAAACCTATTACTTGTGGACAAATTGTTCAAAGTTTATGTTGTGTTTTTATATATATATATATATATATATATATATATATATATATAGAGAGAGAGAGAGAGAGGTCCTTGATTTATGTTGGGAACCTTTCCCTATGGTGCAACATAACCTGATTTTCGATGTAGGTCTGAACTTACCTACATAAGCATCCATGAGTCTGCCTTATGCTTGAGAGCCATAATGAAGGGCAAAAAATTCTCCCCAAACATGACACAAATGAGAGATAATGAATGTAACACAATCCAATAGGGTATACAGCTGGTGAAGAAACAGCGCCGTCTTCCTCATATAGCAGTGCTGTAACCACGAAATGCCATACATCAGGTCTGATGTAACCTGTGCACCTTCTGTAATGAAAAAGGTATATTTAGACAGCAAGTATTCTTTCAAGCAAGTTTGCTTAAAAAGAACTGACAATACCTGTTTAATTTTTTTTTTATTGTATTTTATTCCATTTTTGAATAACGCGTCATTCATTGTATTGTGCATGGAATTGTGGATAAATTGTTCTAAGTTTATGTTGTGCATTATATATATATATATATATATATGGTAAAAAGATGCATGTGCATATTATACCTCCAACACTAACTTCAGCAGCAAAGCATATTTAAGAAAAAATGTTTTAATGTATTTAAGCATGTAGTGTTTAAAAGCAAGCTTTGAGTATATTATAAAACCTTAGAAAAGCCCTTTAGCTATAGCAGAAAACATTACTGTATATAAAAAGCAAGCTAGCAGTAAATGAATTGAGAAATCCCAATAGTTAAAATATCCCTACATGATTAGTCATAAAATATTGCAAGAGAAAACATTTTCTAAAAAGCAAGTGACCATTACAGTTGAGCATAAACCAAAACAGTTTTATTATTACTGGTATTTCCTTTCACTTCCATCTCCATTTTGTTTTGTTTTTCTGTAGTTTCCAGCAGATTGATTATAGGAATCTGTTGAGGCTTATTTAAGTATGATGGATCAGTTGGTACTACTGATGAACATCACCATTAATTTGTTATGATAATTACTTTTACGGTATGCTGACCAAGTAGATATTATGGAGTCAGGCTAGGGAGAAGTGTGACTGTCTGAGATAAAATTAGTCTGTTGGAAGCCTCAATATAAGATGCAAGAAGTTTTTTTATTTTTTTCTCTACTTTCTTCCTCATTTTTCTTCCTTCTATCCCCACTTTCTCTCCCTCCTCATTTCCTCTCTCATCCCTCCCTCTGTCTTGTCCCTGTCCCTCCTCCTCTCTATCTCGTCCCTCCTCCTCTCTATCTCGTCCCTCCTCCTCTCTATCTCGTCCCTCCTCCTCTCTATCTCGTCCCTCCTCCTCTCTATCTCGTCCCTCCTCCTCTCTATCTCGTCCCTCCTCCTCTCTATCTCGTCCCTCCTCCTCTCTATCTCGTCCCATCTTCTTTCCCATGTCTTTCTATCCACTCTTTTCCCATGTCTCTTCTTATCTCTCTCTCTCTCTCTTTAATGAATTCTTTTAGTCGACAAAACATAATGTAAAAAATATTTTGATTGAATTTCTATTTCTTTGCTTATTCATTTTATGAGGCATGGTACATTTGAGTTTTAGGTGTGATGGAATATATGTAAACCAATTAGATATTTACATTTTTTATTTTTTTGTTAATGTTTCACTAACAACATTATCAAACAGTTGAATTTTATGAAAAAATGTTACTATGGCAACCCTGCTACTTAAAAATGTTGTGGTACATGGGGAAATATGTCAAACTAAATATGGGGATTTGGTAGAGGAAAATAAAATTTTTATTTTTTTTATTTTTATTCTTGTTTGAATAATAAATGATTCCCTTTTCTTTCTTTTCAATTAGATGAAATGGTTTTCCTTGATCATTTTGATAAAGTCTAACTTTATTGCAACTCTGAATATTAAGTTATTTTCTTTTTTCAGTTGGATGAAACAGTTTCCCTTGATTATTTTGAGAAAAGTTTGGCGTACTTCCAAGTAAGTTTCCTCCACCACATTGTTGTTTATTTACCATTGTTTATCTCGTATTTTCCTTAAAAAACAGTTTTTTACATACCTTTGAAATGTTCATTGCTACCTGGGATATTTGAATACATACATAATCTCAGGTATGTTTTTCTTATCAATCTTTTAAGGTCATTTAAAGCTGAAACACATTTTTGGATTGTAAAAAAAAATTGTAGATAATGATTTTCTGACATAAGACCTACTAATTAACCCATAGCTGGAGGGAGGAGAGGCAGATTTTCCCAAGGTTATCTGCATATAACTGAATGTAACAAACCTGACTGGAATTTGAATTCGGTTCCTCAATTTCTCATTCCAAGCCTTTATCCATTACACAACCTGCCCACCCAAGCTTACAGCACCTGGTATTCTAGATCTGTCACCCATCTAGTTACTGACCAGGTTCAACATTGCTTAACTTCAGTGATTGTTAAATTCATGAAACTATAAAAAGAAAAAAATGATTTTAATGTGTGTCTTTGGATTAGATTAAGTTTTATTTTATTTTTCCCCATATTGATGTGTAGGTGGTGTGCTGCGTTCTGGGTCACCACTGGCCTCAGTTCTTCAGGCCCCAAAGCATTGATTCTAGGAGGTAGTGGGTTGGAGATCTTAAGGGGATTGCATGCCGAGTCTTTGGCTTAGCATTTCACCAAGTGCTGGCTAGCCTCTCTAAGGAATCTGAGTGTGGGAGGTCTATAGACTCTTCAAAATTCTTGCAGTTGTCATCTGACTTTGTGCCGTTTTCATCTTATATCCAAAGCTTAAACAAAGGCAATCTTTGTCAGAATTCCATGTGTATAGGGTCTTCTAACCAGTAGTTTATTATCCTAGGCTAGCCTCTGCATTCTGTAACAGAGGCTAAGAATGAGAAATTGAGGAGTCAAGTTTGAAATCCGCTTATGTGCAAATGTCAGTGGGAAAGGTATGAATCCCCCCCTCCCCAGCTATGCATTATAGTAGGACTGGTATCTTGGAAAAAATCATTTAAAAAAAAAAAATTGGAGTTATTGGAATTATTCTTACAAACCAAAATATATTTCCACTTTAAATAAGCTGCAAAAAAGAAATCCATCAACTCTCTCTGTCATCCTTTCATTGACCCCTTTCTCTCTTTCTCTCTGTGTTTGTCTCCCTCTTTTGGTCTATCTTCTTTCTCTCCCTCTGTCTTTCTTTCTGTTTGCACCCACTGCTTCTGTCTCAATTTGTCTGTTATTATCTTTCTCTCTTTATTTTTATTTATCTATTTATTTCTTGTTACTATGCAATGCACAATGAAATTAGACAGTAGTCTCCAGGTGCACCAACATAAAAAGAAAAACATTGTACACACACATATATATATATATATATATATATATATATATATACATGTGTGTATGTAATCCTTTGATTATGTGGATAATCCTGAGGAGTTCCTAAAAAATGAATATCCAGGTAAAACCGCTAGTAGAGAACTCAATGTATAAGAATACTAACAAATCATACAGAACAATATAATTAAGAAAAATTTCAAAGAAAAACTTTACATTTGAATTTTCCAGTGTTTATTTATATATATATATATATATATAAGCAAATATATGGATATAGATCCGACAGTATGAAAAAAAATATACGGAAAAAACAAACAAAAATCCTAATATGCAATTATACTGTTTTAATATTAATATAATGTCAACGTCGGACGTTTAGGTCTAATAGACCATCTTCTGAATATGTCCTGAAGATGGTCTATTAGACCGAAACGTCCGACGTTGACATTATATTAACATTAAAACAGCATAATTGTATATTAGGATTTTTGTTTGTTTTTTCCGTATATTTTTCTTTTATATATATATATATATATATATATATATATTTATTCAAACAGGTTTGGTTAAATAATTTAGACATATCATGTTGATTAGTTTTCATTGTGATCCTTTCAAGTTTGTGGATTAATTTTTTGGTAGATTTAGAAAATTGAGTAAGAAAAATGGCAAATCTAATTCTTTAAGAAAAAAGATTTTCTCCACTGGATTAAAAAATATTAAACAAACCCTCATTTATATTGACTTCTCTAATTACATTATTGATGAGCAAATTAGATGAGCTATTAAGAATATTAACATAAATAAAAATGAATACATCATCAAATAACACTAAACATATCAAATTACGATATCATAATCAAATGCATTCCAATTATAAAGAGTCAAAAATTCTAAAAAAAATCATAAACACTAATATATCTCCCACTGATCCAAGTAAAATAAATAAAATTAATACTATACTATACTAAATTTAAATCAACCAACCTAGTTGTTCAAAACAACTCTCCTCTGCCAACTAGCATCTTGTAAAAGGCCAACATTGTATATCAATTTAAATGTCCTTTAGGAGATTGTATCTCATAAAAATGCCAATACATATGTTGGCTTTACTATGACAATGCTAACAAAAAGACTTACATTTCATTTGGCTGAACATAGCTCAATACATCAGCACTTAAAAGAATACTCATGGTTATTAGTTGAAAATACATTTATATTACATAAAGTCAATAACAAGCAAAAATTAAAAATCCTTGAAGTTCTTTATAAGAGAGTTAAAGACCAAAATTATCAAAGTCAACTATGAGTAGAGCAACAAAGTCCTTAAATGTTTATGAAAAAAAAAAAATTATTATATATGTAAACAAAAAAGTTACTCCCCTTATACTGAAAAAAACAAAAGAACATGTGAACTTTAAAATGTAGAACACTGCATAAGCAGTAAAAAAACAAAAACGAACAGTTGAAATGCTTTAAATTCACAAAAACACATATACATAATCACAGGCAATTTAGCCCTCTGAAGATGGTCTCAGATGAGATTGAAAGTATTCAGGGAAAATAAAAACTATTTGAAAGAAAATTTTGGTATTTTTCTTACTCAATTTTCTAAATCTACTAAAAAATAAATCTGCAAACTTGAAAGGATCACGACAAAAACTAATTGATATGATATATCTAAATTATTTAACCAAACCTGTTTGAATGAAAATATTCTGCCTAAATATACACAAAATATATAGGTATTTACTTGACTCCCACAAGGTCAAGATGTGACACAAGGTCGTTTAACGTGGGAAACCCGAGTGTTTCCACTCAAAGGCCACTGGTCAAAATTGGTCAAAGCATGTCCAAGCTGGTCAGAGCTTAGTCAAAGCTGGTCATGACTTGTCCTAGCAAGTCCAGGCCCGGAGCCAGTCCAAGCTAGTCGAAGCCTTGATCGAATCTCAGCCAAAGGCCAAGAAACGATCCGATAATTGTCAAAACCCCCAGTATAACGCCAGGTAAGTATAAATATATATATAGCATCAAATGAAGAAAAGTAAGGATTTTAAAAATGTGTTTAAAATTATCAACTAGCTATGGCAGTATTCATTTTACACAGGATGCAAGGATAAAAACTGTCCTTCAAGTGTCTTGTTCTAGAATTTGAAATATCCTCCAAGGAGAGCAACTGATTATTTTCTGGACAACAAAAATCCTTTTGCTGTAAAAACAAAAACTAAACAAATCTATCTCCATATTGACATGTGATGACTTTCTGTATTATTGTTGCTTTTAATAAAAAATGACAAAAACTGAATGCACATGTGTCTGGCAGTGTGCAGCTTGCTATATATGTTGCACTAAGATCATTAAAATTCCACTCAAACATTGAAAATGGCAAATTATTTTCAAATATCTCTATTCTGTCATTCTCAATGTTGGAATGGAATTGTTACTAAAATTTAACTGTTACTTCTGAAAAGCTACAGTAATAAAGTCTTCAGATCATGGATGTCCACAATTTCCTTTCTTTTGTAGTTCTAAATAAATTGTTTTTTTTTGCTATTTCTGCTAAACCTTGTTTCACCATTCATTTACTCAAGCTCATGAGGTAGGTTATGTTTTGTTTTCCTTTTTCTCCTGCCTTCAATCTGTCCTTTGTGTATCAAATTTTCTAAGTCCTCTTTCCTCATTATGCTCTCAAGAAATTTCAACTTTTACTTTTTAATGTTAAGTATAAATATCTTTTTTTGTTTCCATTTATTATAAAACTTTGTTATTGCCCACATGTTCAGCCCATGGTATTCTCAGTCTGCTTCTGTAGAACCACATTTCTGTTGCTTCATCTCTTCTTCATATGTGATGAGATTGTCCAGCATTCACTGCCATTTAGGACTGATATTATGTACTCTTTTTCAGTACTCATTTTCTATTTCTTAATAAAACCCAAATGAACGGAATAGCAACAGCAATTTCTTAATTCAAAGTGACAAGGCGCCTGATACAAAAACTGAAAAAGAAGATCTAACAGTAACAATACATAAATTATTTTTATTCAAGATCACATTTCATTTATTTATTTACTTTTTATGTATCAAAAGGTTAATTTTGACAGAAGTTTTTACATAAACCTTTCTATGGAATTTTATTTCATCATGCATTTTTTTTTTCAGCAATTGTATAGTGTGCATTTGTCCAATGAAAAGGTGGACTGTACATACTTGATAGGCGATCAAGTCCGTCTTGCTTTGGCCGCGTGTGATTGCATTCAAGTTGATATTTCCCGTCTGAAAATGCTTTTGCAGGTAATTAAGATTTTTTTCTATCTTGTTTCCATATAATTTTTGTTACCAATAATTGCCTTGTATATTTTTTTATATTTGAAGTAGAGTTGCCAAAATTGATCTTTCTTTTTTTATCATTTCACCACAAGCAAGGTGATAAAGCCACTAAGACGCAAGGATCTACTGGGTGTAAGACAATGGAAAAAAGAAGAGAAAACAGCAAAGGAACAAGAATTAAGAAGGCAAAAGATAGTAATTGACATTGCATTTAAATTTTGGGGAATTAAAATTGACTGGAAGGCAAAAGCCTTGAAAGTGCAAGAAGTATGAGAGATGAAACTGTTATAATCAAATTTACAGTTACATCTAACAATTTAAACTGTACTAGTACTGTACTTAAATTTGTAAAGTCAAGGTACTAAAAAGGAAAAATCATCAGATCAGTTACCATAAAAATATTTATAGAAAAGTCATGGGGAAGCTACGTTACTGCAGTAGGAAAATGACTGGAGCTGAGATGCCAGTAACATTGCAGATTCTTTGTTTTATCTAAAATCTCTAAACACAAGTCAAAAAAATATCCTTACAGTCAAGTCAGGTTTAGACCTGCTACTGGTAACATGTAACTTATTATAACCTGCCGCATAGATTGGTGGTTGGTGTCTAAACCAGCTTTCCCACTAGCTTTTCTGCTGGTGAGAAGGGTAGCATGTCACCCCCACAGGATAAAAAGTAAGACCTGTCAAAGGGCAGATGAGTTTCTTGTAGGAGATAACCTCCTCCTGTAACTGTTTGTACAACGTCATTCAGTCACTCTCTACTTCAAGTGGCTGTTGGAACTTTTATTGAGTAAATACTTAGTAAAAAACAAAAAAAACAAAATTCTTACAATAAAGCAAATAAATCTTGTTTTCAAAATGAAGTGTTTTTTTTTTTTTTATTTTTATTTTTTTAAACCAGTAAATGAAACTGGAATGAAAAATGATGGTTGATTGACTTAAATTTAAATGTTTGTACTATTTAATATTTGTACTAATTTAGATATTTGTACTATTTAACACTAAATGTGAAAAACAATTTTACTTTAATAAACAAGGCATAAACATTTTTATTAGATTTTTTGTGACATTTTCTTTTTTTCTTAAAAACCATTAAGAAACTACATTTATGTGTTACGTTTTCTGCTTATCATAAACTAAATTAAAACTAGTTTTAGCCTGTGATAATTTCATGGTTTTCCTATTTGAATTTTCTCATGATTCTTAATTCTTCAGTAAATGATTAAGCTCATGGCGAATTCTACGACAATAAATATCCATAGAAATTCTGCTATCACATTGTTAAGTATTTAAGCTTAACAACGTTGACAAAATAATGCAATAACAATAAAATATGAAGGCTTGTCATTATTCTAAGAAGTAAGGTGGTACAAATGAAAAGATTTGAAATTGACAACTTTTCTGTTTCACTGAAACAAGCTGTTAAAATCTTCCCTTTCTTTTATTCTCCCACTGAAGCCAAGTAGTGTCTTTGATATGTCTTTTGTCTTCTCAGGCAATCAAAACAGAATAGCCCATTATTTATGAGGTATTAGCAGGAGACATTAAAAAATTCTATCTTTCTTTCTTTCCTTAATTCCATCAGTTCTAACCTTTATGGTTAATACTTGCCATGCCATTGCACATTGTAGTTAACTACCCTCATTCCCTTCATATACCATTAGTGAGATGTAAGTTCCACTTGAGCAGCTTTTTCCTACGAACTGCTGTGGAACAAACTCCCAAGAGAATGCTTCCCTGACCACTACAATCTTAACCTGTTCAAGTCTAGGGTTAACTGTTATCTTCCCTACATGTTCCCATAAACTATACCTCTTGCTCTGTAATCCTCTACCTCGAGTGGCTCTTGGGCCTTGTATGGGGTAAAAAAAAGAATCTGCTGGTTGTCCATAAAATGAAAGCTTAATTGTTTCTGAGAGATTCACGAAAACATCAAAAAGTGATTAATTAAAACAAAAAAATTCAGAGGGCATATGAAATAATTAGTAGATTTAATGCTTTGGGTACCCTATTTTAAGTCTGAGTGATGTTGTAACTCTCCAACAGGGTTGTCAGATTGGGTGACAAATAGTGTTTTGGGCTTCAATGTACTATTGAATTTTGAATTGACTTACAATCAAGTTAGACCATCTTATTTTGCAAATATCCTAAAACATTGCAATTAGTGAAACATACTTCAGGGTACTTCTGGTATGCTAGTATAATGTAAATTACCTATCTTGGAAATTTAGAATTTTTACGTTAACTTTTCAAGTTAATCCACTCTAGTAACTCTGTTATAAGGTAAGTCTGATCTTGCATCTCTGCTCATCAGATAAATGAGATAATTTTCAAATAAGATGAAACCTGCAAAAGTTGATAAACTGTAAAAAAAACAATCAAATAGGATATGAATTTAACATTTCTTGCTTTTTGTTTTCCATTTTGGAGAGAATTGAATTCTAATTCAGAATGTTATTGGTCCTGACCTGGCATCTCGACTTCAGTTACTTTTCCACACTGCCATAATGTAGCTTCCTTGTGCCTTTTATTATAAATACTTTCATGGCAATTGTTCTGATGAACTTTCCTCTTTGGTACCTAGACTTTATGAATTTAAGCACAGTATTAAATTGGAAGCTAGGTTTCATCATTTTACAATTGAATGGGCTAAATGTAACCCTAAGTTCTTTGCTAACAATTTTTCTCTCACTTCTTGCTTGTGGAACTCTCTTTTGGCTTTTTAGTTTCCAGCCAACTTTGATCTTCAAAAATTTAAATGCAATGTCAATCATTATCTTCAGTCTTGATTCCTTTTCTTTTTATTGTTCTTTCTCCTTAATACTGTTTTTCTTATTCTTTCACACTCAATAACCCCTTGCATTTTAGTGGCTTTATTGTCTTGCTTGGGGGGAAATGATTAAAAAAAGAATTGTTTTTAATTTAAAGTATATTTGAATTCATATAAACTTAATTATTAAAAGTTTGTTTTTTTTATTATAGTTTTTTTTTTTTTTTTTTTTTAATTCTTTTGCTTTGTCTCTTTTTCAGCCTGGGGAAGAAAAAAGTGAATTTTCTATTTTATTACGAGATTTGGAAACTTGTAATAATGACACGCGAATGTGTGCCAAAAAAGTAAGTGGATGTTTTTTTCTATATTTGTAAGAAAATGAACCATTCTCAGGTGGAATGTTGAACCTGTTCAGTACCTAGATGGGTGACCACTTGGGTCACTTTTCTGGGTCACTCAATACCAGGTGCTGTAAGATTAGATGCGTGGGTAGTGTAATGGATAATGGCTCAAAATTATTAATTGAAGAGCTGAGTTCCAATTCTTATTGTGTTTGTTATATTCACTTGAGAAAGGTATGAATCCACCTCTTCTCTCCAGGCTATGACTTGTATCCCTAAATAATTTTCCCCCGCCCAAAAAAAAAGAAAATTCTTACAATCTAAAAATATTTTCTGGCTTTAAATAACCTGCAAAGAGTTAAGAAGCTGTAGAAAATGAATTAATTATTCTTAAGTGGTTAATGGATTATCTTGAGAATATGTTAGGAATCTTACAGTAGATATATGTCAAATAGTAATTCAAGACAACAGGTAGATGTTCATAAAGACAGTAAAAGCAAGTATTGTCTTGGAGCAGCTGACAAGATGCAAGGCATTTCTTTGATTGGAGTTTTCTTATTTTTGGATTGTGATTCAAGACAGTTTGTAGATGTCGTAGAAAGCAATGACTATCCTGGAGCAGTTAACGAGATATTTTATTGATATGTCATCACTCAAAAATATCCAATGTCATCCCTTTAGCATTCAACATGTTCAAACCCGCTCCATAAATATTAGCTCTCAAAGTCTCACTGTTTGTGTGACTTCCTGCATTATTTGCAATGATATCATCATATATTATGACAGAGCATATAATAGGAGGGTCACATTGGGTTGAACATTAAGCACCAGTATTTATGGGGTAGGTTGAATCCTAAAGGGTCAGAACAGTTTGTTCAAAATGCTCTCATTTATTTGTATAAACCTTCAGCCTAATCCTTGTTAAAGTTGTATTTAATGACAGCTGTATGTTTTTAATACTGACCTCAACCGTAATTATTTGTTTTATAAATACAAACTTCATGTAAATGTGATGCAAATAATATATCGAAATATGCCTATTTCATCAGTGTAAATGATAAATCTGGCATGGGCAACCTTTTCCAACTAGTGGGCTGTATGACATATAAGTCCTCATAAGGTGGGCCACATTACTAAAAAAAATTCAAGCTAATTTTTTGCTGAAGGTATTAAGTGAGGGATCACTTTTCCTTTACAACTAACGTATAAAGTAGTCTCCTATTTTTGCCACTAGATTTAATACATTTCTTTTCTGTCACCTTATCAACACCTGCCTACTTTGTGTTTTATTATCTATTAGCTTAAAAGCCACATTCTGTGTGGACTTTTAAGCTAGCTTCTGCGGAGAGCTATTTAGGCCCTTGACCCAAAACTAAAAGGTCCTCTAGTCTAGTTTAGAAAACAGCAATGATAATTTTGAAGAAATAACTTTGGATTCCTCAATTCACTCCATGGAACTTCAAAACCCCACTTTAAATTTGATTCAGGCTATAAGTCCAATTCTAGCCAAAAGACCAATTTGGGCCGAAATTCCAATTCAAACTGGAAATTGTGTTTTTCAAATCACAGGCTCTGTGAAACTTCAAAACCTCCTGTCATGGAACTTCTCACTTTAATCTGATTCCTTGGCATTTTGAAGAAATAAAATTGATTTCCTCAATTCACAAAGTTTTGGAGATATTTTAAACTGAATGTTGCTTTAAACTCACCATAAATTAAATACTTGTAAAATTACTAATGCTGGATGTTCAAGCATCACATGAAGGGCAGATTTTCAATCGTGGGATCATCCTGATTCCAAGAAGTTTTAATATGTTTATGTAGAGCAAGCGTGGCCTGAGTTAGAAGGGTTTCAGGCACATGGACAGAATTTGTTGCTTATTTATTTAGATGGATAGAAGATATGAGATTTGAATTTTTAACTGTTCCCTCCTCATCCAGACACAAATCCCAATGCTGGAAGTTCAAACACCAGATGAAGGGCAGAATTTCAATCCCAGGATCATCTTGATTCTAAAATTTTTTAATATGTCTATGTAGAACAAGTGTGGTTCAAGTTAGAAGGGTTTCAGACACACACAGACTGAATTTGTCATTATTTATTTAGATGAATAGAAGATAAGAGAAAATTTGAATTTTTAACTGTTCCCTCCTCATCCAGACACTAATCTCAATGCTGGATGTTCAAACACCAGATAAAGGACAGATTTTCAATCCCGGGATCATCCTGATTCTAAAAAGTTTTAATATGTCTATGTAGAGCAAGTGTGGTTCAAGTTAGAAGGGTTTCAGAGACATGGATGGAAAGACACAGAATTTGCTGTTTATTTATTTAGAAGATTGTGCTAGTGGAGTGTATTTGAAATCTTGCTGTTATAATTAAGATTTTTTTTAAACTGAGTAAAATATTTCTTAAAATGTGTACTTGTGTATAATACGCTGCCCTTTTTGCCTTTAATTTACATACAAAATTTCTTGTATTATACATAAAACAATTAGAGTAAAGGAATTCTATTAAGCCAGTGGTTTCCAAAGGGTGTGGCATGTCTCATAGGTGTGCCAGAAAAGGATAGCAGATTAGACAAAATGACTGAAAGAAAAACAGGTTTAGAAACAGTCTCAAAAATTTCATATGCCAAAAATAAATGATTTCAAAATCAATTCTTAAAGCAGTGGTTCCCAAACTTTTTTTCTCAGGATCTCATTTTTGGAATTAAAATTTGCTTGTGCCTCACCAAATTTTATGTCAGAACTTCATTGATAACTCTCTCCTCCCATTTGCAGACCCTAGTTACTATATTCTTAACACTTTAATGCAAAATTATCACAGTGATAAAATCGATCAATAATTCATACTGGGACTCATACATGCAACTACAAGTAATCCATAATGATATTTTAGATTTTGAAATCATGTTTATTTTTGGCATGTAAATCTTTTGAAACTGTTTCTTCCTCGCCTGTTATCCTTTGCTGCCACACCTATGAGGTGCAGTGCACCATTTGCGAACCACTGTCTTAAAGTATGAAATGTGTTACACAAAAATGTTTTTTTTCTGTTTTATCATTAATTTTCCTAACAATTCCATATTAATGTCAATTTATATGAAATGATATTCTACTCTCTAATTATGTCGATAAAGGCTTGATACGAGATTATCATGTCCCTTACCAGAATAAAGTATTATAAAAACCTCTTTTTTAAAGGAAAAAAAATGTCTGAAATTTCATTTTATGATATCATTGATGTTGACACATGAGTTTTACTCTTCATATTAAATTTTGTTTTAGATTCGAAGGCGTTTGCCACAGCAGGATGCTCCAACTACAGTTTCCCCATTGATGTATCCTAAGGAGGTGAGTACTTAAAATTCACTGCAATTGTCCTGATTGTCATAATGTATAATTTAAACAATCAAGCCATGTCTATTGTATCTGTACTAATTTAGACAAATTAATTTTCAAAATAGATTTTGCATTTTATTTATGTAAACTTGTCATTTAACAATTATCTCTAGTACTATTAATATTAGAAATTGATGTAATAATACATATAATAGCCCTATTCTATCAGTAATGTTTGCATTCATTCCTGACCACTGACAATTCCTTTCTTCCTCATTTGCAATGCATTCCTATAGTAAAATCATTAGCAATGTATTTCCATTATACATATAATAGCCCTATTCTATCAGTAATGCTTGCATTCATTCATGACCACTGACAATCCCTTTCTTCCTCATTTGCAATGCATTCCTATAGTAAAATCATTAGCAATGTATTTCCATTATACATATAATAGCCCTATTCTATCAGTAATGCTTGCATTCATTCCTGACCACTGACAATCCCTTTCTTTCTCATTTGCAATGCATTCCTATAGTAAAATCATTAGCAATGTATTTCCATTATACATATAATAGCCCTATTCTATCAGTAATGCTTGCATTCATTCCTGACCACTGACAATCCCTTTCTTTCTCATTTGCAATGCATTCCTATAGTAAAATCATTAGCAATTCATTTCCATTATACATATAATTGCCCTATTCTATCAGTAATGCTTGCATTCATTCCTGACCACTGACAATCCCTTTCTTTCTCATTTGCAATGCATTCCTATAGTAAAATCATTAGCAATGTATTTCCATTATACATATAATAGCCCTATTCTATCAGTAAGGCTTGCATTCATTCCTAACCCCTGACAATCCCTTTCTTCCTCATTTGCAATGCATTCCTATAGTAAAATCATTAGCAATGCATTTCCATTATACATATAATAGCCCTATTCTATCAATAATGCTTGCATTAATTCCTGACCACTGAGAATCCCTTTCTTCCTCATTTGCAATGCATTCCTATAGTAAAATCATTAGTAATGCATTTATATTATAGCTATAAATAGCTCTATTCTATCAGTAATTTCTGACCACTGTCAATCCTTTTCTTTTATGGGAAATACACTTATATTATAAATTATTATTTATCATTTTTTTCTACGAATTTAGTACAGGAAATAAGCTAGTTGGAAAGTAACAGGAAAGTCAATGGGTAGTTGGAAAAGTTTGATCTTTTCCAATCTGTATTGGAATCAGATACAATCAGTGCTAAAATATTTTTCTTTTAACAGAATTTATGGCAATATTTAATGAGTAGGGTGAATCAGTTTTTATGTATTTAGGTAACATAAATAGCTATTGAAATAATTTATAATGCTTTTTAATAGTAAAAAGCAATGCATCTGCATATTAATGTAATTTCCAAAGTATTTCTGTACCAAATTAATTGTAAGTGGATATATATATATATATATATATATATATATATGTAAAGAATAAATAATAAAAGTTTACCAATTTAACATGTTTCACTTTTATTAAAGCTTCCCTGATGAAAGATTAATAAAAATGAAATATGTTAGATTAATTAATGTCTCCTATTTGTTCTTTATCTTATTATTTTGTTTGATTCTGATCCAGATTTCATCCAAACTCTCATATATATATATATATATATATATGGATAGCAGCTTATATTGAGGAATTAGAGAGCCATGTTTGAATTCCAGTCATATCGATTACATTTACTTACGTGCTAATATACCTGAGAAAGGTATGAATCCATCTCTTCTCTTACACTCATCTATGAGTAAATAGCAGGACAGGCTGGGTCTTGTATCTTTGGTTAGCGGATGGTCTAGGAGAAGGACAAGTCTGAATTCAAAACCTGTGAACCTGGGACTTTGTGGTATACCATGCATGAGTGTGCTGTATTCAACTCTTCCAAAAAAATGTGTTTGGTCCTGCACAAGACTTCACCACCATAATCAAATGCTATGTGTGGGTAGTCTGGCTGTTGGTTCTAAGAACTGAGCTGCTTGACCCACATATGTCAAAAAAATGACAGGAGAGTCAAATAGTATCTATATGTGTGTGTGTGTGTGTGTGTGTGTGTGTGTGTGTATATATATATATATATACACACACGTTACATTACTATATATATATATATATATATATATATATATATATATAATTATTTATTTAAAAAATATGATTCCAACTCGTGACATAAGAGGTCTCATGTTTCAAACGAGCTGAAAACTTCAATATAATTATTTGAATTAAATTGAGTTAAAGAAAGCTCTGTTCCATCTTCAAGCGAAATTTTTTTTTGGAATAACTTATTTCAGAAATTTACCTGTTTTAATAATTGAAATCAAAATTTCCATGTTAACAGCTAAGGTGAATTGTTTAAATTGGGTAAGCGTGTGTTGGGTGTTAATAATAAGTATCAGTATAGAGTTACTTTCATAGATGTCAAGTCAGGGTAAGGTGGGGGTGTCTAATTTTGAAATGGAAGATGTTTTAGCCTAGTCTGGCTTACATGTCTACGGAGATTTATTTATTATTTTTATTTTATTTCTTTATGAAAGGGATTTGTGCATATAAAAACTGCCGTAACTTTTGTTTTTTGACGACTTCATAAAGGGTTTTCTTTTTTTAGGGTATTTAAACTATTTATTTTGGCTATGGATTATAAAAGTTATTATATTGTATGCTTGTTTTTAGCTAATCATTCAAACCATGGATTTGATGATGACGACAGAAAACCGTTAACTCATGTCTATTGTTTAATAGATTATTATTATTTAGAAACTTAATAATATGCAGCTTCTCATGGAGGCACAAAGGGTATGGGTCATCCCAAGTTTTACATGTTCTAGTCCTGTTTATAATTTTCCAAAATTTGGGAAAGGTATGAAATCAATCACTCCCCCCCAAAAAAAAAGCTGTGCATAAATAGCAAGACAGACTGAGTCCTATAGCCTTGGGTGGCAACCAGTCTATGATAAGGGCAACGCTGAATTCAAAAACTGAGCAGAGTCATATTGGGACTCTTGTGTCACACTGTGTGCACCAGCTCTGTATTGGGCTCTTCCAAATAGTGTGGTTGGTTCTGCACAAGCCTTCACCACTATAATCAAATCATATGGCTGTATCCTCATGCATCGAAAAACTGTAGGAGAGTCCAGTTATATATATATATATATATATATATATATATATATATATATATATATTTAGTATTTGCTGTGTGACTCAATAATTATTAAAGTGTAAATCTGTTTTCAAGTTTTGTATCTTTCTATTAAATCCATCATAAATGGAATAATTATTTATTTTTAGATTCAGAACCTTCTGCTAGACAGTGGAATGAACATTGTACGTGTGTCCAAGACCCTGCGGCATGTAGCCCTAGGAGCCATGGTCCAAGAGGCCGTCCTTACAAGTAAGTAACCAGCCTCTCCTTGTGAGAGGCAACATTTAAATATATCTTTTAAATTTTGTTACTTTTATCTTTCCTGAAGTTGTCTTGTTTTTAATTACTTTAACTTCATTTCATTCTCTAGGTATTTAAACTATCTATAGTGATATTTAAATGACTGCCTAATTAGCATAGCTAGGGTATAGACTATATAAATGCCCAAGCAGTAAGGGTAGGCTAGCTCTTGGTATACGAGATAAACAACTACAAAGGAAATTCCACTTCTGATTCCAAAAATAAATTTTTTTTTCTTCAACACTTTTAATATCTAGAATATTTCCCAACCTTTTTTGCTCTTGTACCACTCTTGAAATAGTTTTTTTTGTCTTGAGGAACCCCTGCATAAAAAATTATTATATACCATTATATATATCTGTCTATATTTCTGAGATGAGGTATTGTAACTGTTTACACTACTTGGACCAGTGGATAAAAGTGTGGTTGAAGTAATTCAGTGACTTCACCCAAAGAGTTGTGAGTTCAATACCTGACCACAGCAGAGGTGAACAAAAACTTGGAAAGTTGAGTTACTAAAGGGAAATAACTGAGATATCCAGAAAAGGCATGGCATGTGGAACTAGAACAATTTACTCTGGTGGACAAAATAAAAAGTTTGGTTCGAAATTCCAATGTATATCACCTGAAGAAGGTTGGAGCATACAACAACTGAAACGTTGTGAATATGACAATAAAGATGAGGATAACTGTCTGAACAATGTAAATACCATTATTTATATCTATCTATCTATCTCTCTTATATTTTTTATTGTAGTTCATGTGTTAAATATAATATATGGACACCATGCATCCTGTATTTGAGTGAATTACTCAATGATACACAAATCTGCCAGCCATGTACAGGTCCTGTCCACTAACCAGTGAAGGTGGTTTCACACTGATGCCATGTAGACATGGCTAAATACATTCCCTATGATTATTATAATTTTAAATAATGAGAGGGTGAAGCCTTTCTTGTAATAACCAAGGATTTTCCAACAATATGCTGTACGTATATAGTAAAATTATGAATATAAAATTAAGCAAAAATTATTCAAAAATGCATTAGGCTATTTATCTCTGTTTCTTGTAGAACCTATAGTGACCTCTTGTGGATGCCTAGGGTTCTGGGGAACACCATTTGAGAAACGCTGATCTAGAATTTGAGTTAAGGATTGTGTATGTATGTTCACAACAGTGATTATCTTAACGCACACACACATACACACACACACTCTCTCAGAGAATACAGTTTCGACAGAGTGCCTTCTACAAAACCTCTACAACCCTAATCATGACAAACACTGGGTCAAAATCACAATTCTTTCAGTTTATACAACACATGAAAAAAAAAGTCCCACTTCATTGTTTATTTCTTGTCTTGTTGAAAAAGGACACAGGCGTGTCTGAAAATTCCAACTTTAAAATGTTTCTCTTCATGCTTCAGTTTAGTCAAAAGGCCTGCTAATATATAATAATTATCATCAGTCTTCTTGGCAGTATTTTTATCATTTTGTTGTCTTTTTATTCTTGGAATTTCATTAACTGGCCTATTAAATCTGCATATTATAAGAAGACCATCTTTCATTTTAATATATATATATATATATATATGTGTGTTTCTCATCAAAAACTCACCTTGAAATGATTTATATATTTCTTGTGAAAAACATCAATGTTATTAGCTTTATTGAAGTAAATCTGCCATTCTATGGTTATCAAACCTTGATATAATTGAGTGGAAGCCTAATCACAATAAGACATATTCTATCAGAATGCAAAATCATAACTAGGATAAGACAGAAATATCTCAATGGAAAAGATTTAAAAGAAATATTCAAAAATACAGACACAGAAAAAAATATACAGTTTTCTAAGGAAATAAAAATCCTCAATAAAATATAAATAGTGTATATATATATGCTTATAGACATATATATGCATCTATGAATGTAAACAGTAAAATACACAATCAGAAACGGTCACAAAAAGCAATCCCAAAAAATACAGAAAATTATGAAACCCAACAACCTTTCATCTTTTTATACAAAATAACCAACTTAAATTCATAAATTAATAAGGCTTCGGCATAAATTGACCCAAATAGGAGTTGACATGCCGTTAAATCCAACATCCATCCATCCTTGATATAATTGAAAATATGTTTTTAAAATTCATTTAAAATTATTTTAAAAAATTTCCTTTGAAATAAGCTATGAATTAAAGCAATAATACTTGAAAATATTATTGGTTAAATTTCATCACACTTTTGAAGTGTTGGTATCAGTGTGGTGGGTAAATTTTTAATAGTACTTGTTTATCATCGTATATCGAGGAACAAAGGTTTATATTTTGTCCCACCATTTTGTTTAGTACCCAAACTGATCAACAGATGGCGTACTTCAAAGTGAAAGAAAAATAAATTTTTTGAAATTCTTTTTAGATTAATCAACACTGTCTTTTCTTACCATTTTGTTTCTTCTGATTTTGCATTTTGTCTCTGATTATAATTCCATTTTCCACTTGAATGTTGCTTACATGTGATTATTTTTCATGTTCAGAATATAATTTTCTTTTTACAATAAATATCTCAGTCCATTCAACTTTGTCAATCTTTTTTTTTTTCACTGGATGATACATTTTGAGGCTACACGCTAGACAAAATTAAATTCTGTTTCAGCTCAGTATTGTTTCAGAATTTTTGAACATTGTTCCTCCTCTACTTCAATTTTGTAATTTTTAAAAAAAATTTTTCAAGTGCTTTTTGAAAACAAAGATGCACAAATAATGTGAAATGCATTTAGACCCATTTAGCTGTCAAAGTGTCAAAGGAAGGTATATTAAATTTGATTACAAATATTTATGTCCATCCTAAATTTGTTAGAACCAAATTTTCATTTTATCGTAACCAAACCTTTATATGTAGCTTCTAAAACACTGAGCATGTTTTTATTTATATTGCTTTCACATACACACACCACATACACACACACACACACACACGTGTGTGTGTCTATGTATGTTTTGTATCCTGCAGCTTATTGTTGTTACCTATTCTGTAGTGTACGTCTATATAATTTTGACCAACATCACAATATTAATTACATTATTTAAATTAAATCTGATTTTTAATATCTGAAAAATAATGAGAAGTAATTTGAAGTAAGCTTGAGTAAAGTTTTTTTTTTTATATAGCAATAAATCTCTTATTTGATATTCTTGGAAGCAGACACATTTCAGAATTCAGAATTTTTTTCATTTTGGAATGTTACTATATAAACCGAAGTTAACATTAGCAGTCTACATCATTTATAAATATTCCCCTTTTACTGCATATGGAATCCCCTCAAAATATAGTGTTTTATATATTAGTTCTATATATTTGAAATTGCAGTAGCCTGGTTCTCAATTTCAGTCAAGATAGTTTTAGGTGTTGCCATAGAAGAATATGACTACACAACCAAGAAATTCAGTTCAATTTGCATTGGCAGGACTAACATTTTGCTTAGTGAAAATAGTTGCCTACAGTGTGTTAAAGGTTATTTGCAAAGAAACTTGTTGGTCAACCCAATATTATATGAATATATACTTTTTAAAATGTCTTTTTTTTTTTTTTTTTTTTTTTTTTTTTTTTTAAACCTTAATAAAATTTTGTACCCACCCCCTCCAACTGACTATAACAAGTTAATGCACTTTACCTAGGCCAGAAAACTTTGTCATTGAACCATGAAAGATGAGTGCCATGTTACCAGGTTAGACAAATATGGTTGAATTTATATGTGAAGGGAAACTGCATGAGGCTAATGAGACTATGGATACACTTTTTTGACATGGCATCTGCATGCTAAAAAGGAAACTAATACTTAGCATCAAGAATAGACAGTTGAGGTTTCTGGGACATAAAATGAGGAAAGAGAGCTTGGAAAATCTGATACTCATGGGACAGATAGCAAGATGGATGGAGAAAAACAATGCATAACATACTTGATAAGCTTGAGTAAATGGATGGTGGAACAGGGCTTAAGAGAAATAACAGAAAGACAGTTTATTAAGAGCTACAAGGGACAGGAAGTTGTGGAGAGCCATGATAGCCTATGTCCTGAGGAGACACTGTACACAAAGAAGATTTCTGCAAGCTGATGGTGGCTCTGAAATGATATGGGTTATGTTGGAGTTTGCAAAGACACTAGTAAAACCAAAGGCTTTCTTGATGTATTTGAGATGTGCAGGGTTCTTGTTGCAGACCATTTGCACCTCTTTATGATTGCCACGCTCTCCAGTGATGATGGTTTGTCCCAACAAGATAACGCAATCCTCTGGGAACAATGTCCTCACGGACAAAGAGGTGATGTGAGGCATCAGAGATTAGTTCAGTAGATGACCGCTGGGAATATCACAAACTGAACATGTTAGCAACAAGAAGGCTTTAACTAAAATAGAAACAAAAAGCATACTTAATCATAGAATCACAAAGAAAGTTGAAATTTCTGGGTCATATAATGTGGAGAGAGGGCTTGGAGAATTTGATACTCTTGGGCAATCAGATAGAGGGAAACACTGAAATTGGGAAGGATAGTAAGGGGACGAAAATTGCTTATAGCTGCAAAGGATAGGAAGTTGTAGAGAGCCATGATTGTTCACAACCTGAAAAGACATGGCAAATATTATAATAATAATAAAGTGTTCAATAAATTGGATAAAAAAAATAACCCTAAAATTAGTGGGAACTTATTTTGAAGTAAAACATTATTAAGGTGACTCACAGAAAAGAAAGTGTCTCCAGTAAATTGTGACTGCATTGGGTCAAGTTTTTTTGACATAAAATGTGAATTCTAAGGATGCAGATAATCCCTATAAAAGAACTTGGTTTTCAGAGATTTTCTGTTTTCAGCTTCTAGGATTTCGGATAAGAGATTATTGACCTGTATACATTTTATTTTTTTCTTTAATTTTTTATTTATTAAAATGAAAAAAAAAATATTTGCCAACTTTAATATTTAGGCACTATTTAATTCGACTAGCCCACTTGTAAAGAATAGGGAAAATATTTTGGAGGCAATAACTTTTGTACATTAGCAATCTTTAGACCAGTGCTATTCAAAGCTTGTTACACAATGGACCAACCCAACTGGATTGGAAAGCTTTGCATGCCAGTCCTTTACACATTGAAAAAAAAAAAACTACCAGTATGCGACATCAGATAGTTTGAGAAGCACTGACCTTGCTTAGGCTATAACATTTATAAAACTTTTGTTTTGTTTGTCTTGTTCATAATATCAATGCAGTCCTTGACTTTTACAGAATTAGCTGCACTTAAGTCTTATTTATAAATGTCATGCCTTGAAAATGTGCAGATATCATTTAAATCTGTGTGCAAAAAAAACTTTCTTAAAGAAAGGACAAGTAGATATATATATATTTTTATGCGTTTTAAGAAAATACTTTGTTAGAAACAAAGAGTACTGAACTGTTACGTGACATCTGTCCTGTATGATAGCAAAGGCTGGACAATCTTCTTGAAGATGAAACTTGAAGGAACAGAAATGTGGTTCTACAGCAAGATGCTGAGGATATCATGGACTGAACATGTGAAGAACAACAAGGTTTTGGAGAAAATGGAAACAAAAAGGAAACTTATACTTAACATCAGGAAGAGGCAGTTGAAATTTCTGGAGCACATAATGAGGAAGGAGGGCTTGGAAAAACTGATACTCACAGGACAGAGGAAAGTAGCACCTAACATACTTGATGAGCTTGAGTAAATGGATGGCAGAACAGGGCTTGGGTGAAATAACAAAAAACTTATTAAAATCTACAAGCGACAGGAAGATGTGGAGGGCCATGATCACCTACGTCCTGAAGGGGACACTGCACATAGAAGAATAATAATAATGGCAAAATAAATTTCATTTTTCTTTTTTATGAAAATATTTTTTGTTAGTAAAGAGCAAATAGATGTATACATTCTTAAAGTAGTACCACATTTTTAATTAAAAAATAACAAATGACATAAATTAACAAAAGTATAAAAAAATATGCAGACATCAGTGATGTATGAACATTTTTCAAGGCATTTGTAAATAAAAACCTAAGTGCAGATAACTGTAAAAGTCAAAGATTGATTTGACACTTGATATTCTGAACAGGACCGACTTCTCAATCAGCTTATGGCCATATCATGTTGAAACACTGGCTCCTGTATGATCACTGAAGTTAAGCAACATTAAGCTTGGTCAGTATGTAGATGGGTGACTATTTGGGAATATCGGTAAGCTTTAAGCTTAGGTTTGTGGGTGGTGCAATGAATAATGTCTCGCTTGTTAATCAGAAAACGGTTTCAATTTTAGTTGGATCTTTATATTAACTTACATGCATATACCCTTGGGAAAGGTATGAATCCACCTCTTCTCCCTCCAGCTATGTGTTAATTTGTAAGACTTACAGTCTAAAAATATTTTCTGGCTTTAAATAACCTGCAAAGGGTTGATAAGCTGTAGAAAACAAATCAATCAATAAAATATAGATTAGCTCCACAGGCATGTCTTTTAGATGTATTTATATTCTCTATAAATGTATAGGAACTACTGTGACTTCAAAGTAAAGGATCAGTTTATATATTGATTGAAATATTGAATTGATCTCCCACTTTGTATCCACATTATAATTTGTTTATCAATTTTTTATTATTATTTTATTATTATTCTACCCACCAGCTATGGGTTAATTAGTAAAACTTGTATCACGAAATCGTTATTATCTAAAAAAAAAAAAATTCTTAGAACCTAAAATATTTTCTGGTTTTTAAATAACCTGCAAAGGGTTAAGCCATAGAAAACAAATCAAGCAATCCTTCTAAGTTGATAAAAATCAATATTATTTGATTTTGATAACTGTCACGGCTTGAACAAGATCTATAGAATGCTAATTGGTAAATTTTATTCCTCGAAAATTTTTTATTTTTTTACAAGTGGACCAGTCTATTTAAGTTCTGATATTTTTAATGGCTGAGGTTATATGAAAAAATTTAAACTTCTTTTCTGAAACTTCTTTTCTGAAACTTCTTTTCTGAAACTTCTTTTCTGAAACTTCTTTTCTGAAACTTCTTTTCTGAAACTTCTTTTTCTGAAACTTCTTTTCTGAAACTTCTTTTCTGAAACTTCTTTTCTGAAACTTCTTTTCTGAAACTTCTTTTCTGAAACTTCTTTTCTGAAACTTCTTTTCTGAAACTTCTTTTCTGAAACTTCTTTTCTGAAACTTCTTTTCTGAAACTTCTTTTCTTTTCTTGTGATGATTTCATCACCAGAAAGAAATATTTTTTCTTTGTTTTCTTTTCAATCATTTATTTATTTCATTGTTCTTATTACTTCTATGATGAACAAAAGCTTTTAAAATTTCTGCATATATTAAAGAACCATATCTTACAAAATACATTTTAATTACCTGTCGAATTTATAAATGTGCACATCAAATTTATTTACAAGAATATTTTTCAACAAGTTAAATATTCTTCAAGCATGTACAATTACCTTTTATTTTTGTTCATTGTTGGCTGATCACTATATATATATATATATATATATATATATATGTCCAAAATGAAGTTTTCTGAAACATGTAAAATTTTAAAAACTTTTGAGGGTAAGTAATAATTGCTAAATATTTCTTTCATATATTATTACTAAGTAATGAGTCTTGTGCGTGTGACCAGGGAAGGATTGGTTTAAAGTTTTATAGCTTAATATTAATAAGTTCAGGGATTAAAAATGTATTATTTCACACTTTCTTATTTGTTGTTATATTATTTAGGGGGGTATTTTATATTGCAAGACTTACTTTAAAGTAATTTCTGCAATTTTAAAGCTAAAGAACATCTGTCAAAGGTGTCAAAAGGCACTCCTTCCCCTGAAATTAAAAAAATATATATACATCTTTTGTCAGAAGAATGCATCTTTATTTTGATTGCCCCTCCCAAACCAATAAAAATAAACAAAAGTTTTGAAAAACTCCATTTTGGATATATTTGATATTTTCAATCATTCTTACTTTTTGCTACTGCTTTTTTTGTTTTTATCCTCATTGCCATTATTATTATTATTATTATTATTATTATTGCCATTATCATCATTATTATTATTATTGCTGCTGTGTGTTTTGTTACCCATTTTATGCTCTTTGTTCTACACATTTTTCTGCCCAGGTTCAAGGCAAAAATCCCAAACGGATGGTAAAGCAACACTTTGTATTTTTGTTTTAAATATACATATATATTTTTTTTTAAATTTTTTGTCTTGCCAATCTCTCACTATTAGTCATTATTTTGTTTTTACTTGTATTTTCTTCCACTCTCTAACTTGGTAGGACCAACAGGAGATCTACGACTGTAGTTAAGGGGAGTTAATCAGTGGCAATTTGACCCCGGTCAGATTCGGGGGATTGCTACTTGCCTTTAACTGTCAGCTTACAGAAGCTGTAGTGGAAACAATGCAGTCACTCCTTATTCTCACCCCAATGTCCTACGATTTCCCACCCTTCCCATTCTCTCTCTACCTCACTTTCCTCTCTCTTTCTTTCACAACACCAGTTTTATTATTATCTTTTTCTTTTCCAAAATAATCATTTGGTGTCATCGCCCCATACTCTGTCTGAATGTGGGTTTTCAATTTTTTTTTCTTCTAGAAGATTTAGTTAATTTGTCTTGATAATAAGAATTAAAAAAAAAATAGCTATATAAAATGTTTATAGAAATTATGGGTTCTCAACTGGGGTGGGAGAATTCTCAGGTTTTGGGAAGTGGGGAGGAATCTTACTTTTTCATGAGTTTGTCATTGACTATCATTTCCATTAGAATAAAATTTTTGTTTATTAAAGATTTCTGTTTATTTATTTAATAATTAGTTACGAATTAAAACAAATTAATGTACATGTATTCAAGTTTAAAAATACATCAACATTTTCTATGGCTATTAAATTTATAAAACTCCTCTCTAAAAATAATTCTTGTATATGTATTAATATGGAAAAGAATGAAGATTTTTCAATAATATATGCATATTATTTGGAATTCAACTTTTAGTTGGACACTCTTGGAAAGGGGAAGATTGATATATGAACATATGGTGAAAAGGGGGCATAGGGCAAAAAAGTTTGAGAACCACATATATAAATACTAGCTGACTTAACTACCCAATATTATTAGAATCTTATAACTTTATCTGAAAGTGGCATTGCACAAGCTATGTTCAAATCATCCAGTTAGCAGGTTGTGTGTAGATGTGCACATGATAAAGAAGGCATAATTTAGGAAACAATAGATATTAAATGCAAAACTACCTTCACCAAAAAAAAGAAAAAAAAAGAAACCTCAATACCAATTCATTCTAGGATACATAGCTTCATAGACAAAAGTACTATTTGCGAGCTAAATCTCTGGATTAGTCAGTACAGAAATACATGTTGGTATTTCAAAGAAAAATTTTAGGTTAAGAATTCTGAAATGCTCTGTATAGAGAACATGTATTGGAATGAGAACAATATATCTCTGCGGCCTTCATTAGGTACAGGTTCATTGGCCTAACCTGCAGGGAATTTCAAACTGAGCTCTATAATTAATCTGAACCATTTATTTAACTGAATAGCATTAAAAAGAGAACAAGATGAGATATCCCTAGACATGGACGGTGGGATGAGAACAATCTACCCCCGGAGATTAAATTACATTATAATATAATTATTATTGCCTCATGGAAACAGAGCAAGCAATAACTGAACAGTACTAAAAAGAGAACAAGACGAGATATCCCTAGATATGAAGAGTGGAATGAGAACAATCTACCCCCGGAAATTAAATTACATTATAATATAATTATTATTGCCTCATGGAAACAGAGCAAGCAATAACTGAACAGTACTAAAAAGAGAACAAGACGAGATATCCCTAGATATGAAGAGTGGAATGAGAACAATCTACCCCCGGAGATTAAATTACATTATAATATAATTATTATTGCCTCATGGAAATAGATCTAGAAATAACTGAACAGTACTAAAAAGAGAACAAGACAAGATATCCCTAGACATGGACAATGTAATGAAAGCAATCTACCCCCGTAGATTAAATTACATCATAAAATAATTGTTATTGCCTTGTGGAAACCTATCCCTAGACATGGACAGTGGAACGAGAACACTCTACCTCTGTAGATTAAATAAAGGGTTTAGTTCAAAATTTCCAGTAGGTTACCTGGATTGATATACATTTGATGAAGGCCTGGTGACCAAAATGTTGTGATACCAACAACTGAGATGAGGACAATAGTTCACGTAAATAATGTAAACTTCTCCTTCGAGAAATTCAAACAGAAATTATACCTTAGTGGATTATATAAGAATTATTTTTTTTGCAATATCCTTATATATATATATATATATATATATATATATATATTAGCTGTCTTTACTGCCTGATATTATCTAATAACTTAAGAGAAGCAATGCATTTGTTATCTTCAAATCATCCAGTTAGCAGGCCAAGTGTAAATGAGATATTAATTAGGAAACAATAATTATTAAATACAAGACACAAAAAAACCTTACTACCTATAAGAGATCTGTCTGAAAAGTAACAAGAATGGTGTCACAAACAATTTATTTCAATTCCAAACAACAAACTAATGGTTTCCCCTTCAAAGTAATCCCCACTTTTCTATCCTTCTTTGCCACACTTTTATGCACTGCTGGAAGGATTTTTCTTGGATGCCTGCCAGCTCCATTGTTACAGCCCTTTTTAGGACCTCCATGCCTTTAAAACCAGTCCCCTTGAGCTTGGGGAAAAGAAAAAAGTCACACACAGAGCAAGATCAGGTGAATAGGGTGGTTGTTCCAGTACGGCGATGTTCTTATCATCCAGGAACTACCAGATGATCAGGGCATTGTGAGCAGGTGCAGTGTTATGGTGAAGCAGCCATAACTCTCATCTCTTCTTGTGCACTGAGTGAAACAAATGCTGCAGGATCTCTTTGTCGACTTGTCAATTGATCATCTGGCCCTGTGGCAAGAACTCACTGTGGATGATGCCCATAGCTCACACAGCACACCCACTCCCATTACTTGTCAGACAGATCTATGGGACAATAACTGAGTGGATTAAAGTATTGGTTTGTGAGTTCAATCTCTGAATTGGATAGTACAGTGGAAACAGGGTATGCAATAACAGTGCAGCATTAAATGAGAACAAAAGTGAAGGGCTCAGTTCAAAATTCCCTGAAAGTTATCTAGATTAATGGATACCCTAAGAAGGCTATTGGATGCAATGACTTGGAACCTTGTGATAATAACAATAAAGATGAGGATATTCGTCTGAATGTAAACAATAGTCTGAAGGTATGTATAATAGCAGCAACACCTAAAGTCAGAAATTCAGGCAGACAGACCAATAAGTCCAGTCCTGAAACTTTGATCAAAATGACAAAGATGGGAAAACTTGTACAATGGCATCGATGTATAATAATAGTAACAATGGTGTTATTTTACTATTACATTAGTCTCACACCCAATTATTATTTTATACCCTTTAATTAGTCAACTGGCCAATGATGGCAAACTAGTTATTCATCAGTGCGCTCATGTTGTAACCACATGTGACACATGGTTGAGTTTAATGTGTGTTTACCAGCAATACTGTAGAAAAATTTCTCAAGCCCTAGACGTTTTCTGTTTGACTAGTACCTGAGACATCTCCAATGAACCCAGCCCTCTCCCAAATGAGAAGTACTGCCTGGGGGGGATGGTCCCATAGGGCTTGGGCTGAACTTCCCAAGCAGAAGTGATGGTGAAGTAAGAGCGGAATTAATCATGCTCATTAGGTCAATAAGGGAGACAGGTGTAATAGTAATTATCATAACAATGCCTTTTTTTAAGAATTTAAAAATAAGATTGATCTCTTGCCATTTGAAATTCCAATGTGTATCACCTGAAGAAGGCTGGAGCATACAATGACTGAAATGTTGTGAATATGACAATAAAGATGAGGACAACAGAAAGAAGCCTTAAGTAAAATAGGCCAAAGAAAGAAACTTATATTTACACTCAGAAAGAGTTTAAATTTCTGGGACACATAATGAGGAAAAAGGGTTTGGAGAATTTGACACTCACAAGACATATTGAAAATAAAGACACAGGGGGAAGATGCAAGTGACATGCTTGATGAGTTTGTAAATGGATGGTAGTACAGGTGGAAAGAGGTATGAGATCGTGTTTTGTATATTCTGACCCTCACATTGCATATTGAATCAGCTTTAATTTGGGTTGCATTGGATATCTTGATCATCCCTAGTTCCCTGCAAAATCATCTCTTGTTTGTTTTGTTTCTTTTTTTTTGTTGTTTTGTTTACTTTGCTTTATTGTTCCCTGCCAATTGTAAGCCGTTGAATGATCTCAGTTTGGGCAAAGGTGGGTTTGCGATGACACAAGGGGCATGTCTAATTTGTGCACTGTTGTCTACTGTAGCATGCCTTGTCTGTCTCCAGCTGACCATACCACCTCTGCTGAATTGTTTCATCTTTGACTTTAGACCCTGACTGACCATGACTTGACTGTTTTCCCTTGCTCTGTTTCAGCATGTTCATTTCTATCATTTGTTTGCAAATGCCATCATTTTGACTGACTGACCTGTTGACCAATGTCCGTATTGAAAGGAAAACTAGACTTTTTGGTTGGCTGTAAATGTTGTCTGCAGTGTACCTAAATTTGTTTATTTTTCTGTGCAGTTCCCCCTCCTCCAGACTACCCTGCCTGAATAACATATTTTGGCTGTTGGCTAAATTGTCAGCATAATTAATAAAACTAGAAAGACCTGTGAAAATTCCAAGGTTTTCCAATTAGAATTTTCTGATGAATTGTAATTCTTCAGTTAATGATTGAATAAGCTCATGGCAAGTTCTATGACTTGAAAATATCTGTAAAAATTCCCCTATAACATTGTTAAACATTTGAGCTTAACATTTTTAACAATATATTGCAATATCAATCATAAATATGAATGCTGGTTATTATTTTAAGAAGTGGGTACAAATGAAAAGATTGGAAATTGACAACTTTTTCCATTTCACTGAAATAGCCATTAAATATTTCTTTCTTTTATTTCTCACTAAGAAGGCTAAAAAAAATGCATTAAGGAGGAGGAAAATTGCCTTAGACACATCAATTAGTAATATCAATCCACCAATC